CGCACACCTGCGCCCTGCCGAGTCCGGAAGGTCCCTCATGGCCTACCCAGCCCTGCCCCATCCCTGATTGCCCCGTGAACCCCCCATGCCCCCCCCGGGGCCGCGCTGCCCCTGAGCCCCGCAGCAGCTGCAGCCCGTTTCCCGGAGGCAGTGGCGCAGGTGTGGGACCAGAAAGATGTTCTCGGCTCTGAAGAAGCTGGTGGGCTCGGACCAGACGCCGGGCAGAGACAAGAATATCCCTGCGGGGCTGCAGTCCATGAACCAAGCTCTGCAGAGGAGGTTTGCCAAGGGAGTCCAGTATAACAGTGAGTCGGAGCCCGGCTTTGGGGGGCTTGTGGGGGGGGCACAGGCAGCCCGGCCGGGAGGGCGAGAGGTGTCGGTCTGTCCCGTCTGATGCCCCGTGGCATGCCCAGGGCCCCCGGTGGGACTCTGAAACTCTTTTCCTGTGCATGTTGGGGCTTTTGCCAGTGTTCGTCCAACTTTGCAATTGAATGTTAGAGCTTGTGGGAGGAGTAAGGGATGGGAAAGTTTTCCCTCTCTGTGCGGGAACCGGGGACCTGTCGTGCTGCGGTGTCCCCAGTTGATGGCAGATGGCCTGAACGGCTGCCTGTGTTCTGCTAACTGTTGCACAAGATAATTGCTTATAAATCAATTTTCGTCAGTAAAAGCATTAAGAGGTTAACTCCCTTGGGGGTGTGGGTGACCCTGCCTGCAGCCCAGGATAATGATCTTTATAATTAAGCTCTAGAGGTTATATGATAAGGGTCTGTTGAAAAGCTTGGCCCTGACAAGCTTGAATAAAAGGTGGGTGATGTACACCTTTCCATGCCCTTGGGTGCATCATTTCATTTTGTCTATTTCTGCAGCTGGTACCCTTGCAGTTTTCTCAGGGAGCGTTTTCAGAATTATTTTTCCTTTCAGTGTCAAGGCTTAGGGCTGTGTTTTTCCCTTGAAGCTCAGGAGAGGTTATTTCTAATGCAGTGTTTTACAGAGGCACTGCAAGTATGCAGAATACACCCCAAAGTAACAATTGTGAGATGGGGAGAGTAGTTATGTCATCCTGGCTGAAAATAGGAATGGTGCCAGAGTGCCTTGTGAGGATCAGCTTGTCTGTGGGGATCCAGGCTGTGAAGTCAGGTTGCAGAAGGTTGAGAGACTGGCAGCTTGGAAAGAGACTGATTTGTCAGTGTGGTACTGGGTAATTTCTGGAAAGGCACACATGTTGGAGGTATAGAGCTTCTGTTGGAGCTTAATCTGAAACTGTAGTTACAGGGAGAGGTTACCACTATGGGGTTTGGGATTTTTGCTTTTTTTAGTATTATCACTATGGACTGTTCTTTTGAACTAACACAATATGAAACTCTTTACTAGGGAGAGCATTTGGTGCTTTTATAGCACATCTGTTAGGTATGCCAGCAGTGCTTAATTTACACAGTTAGTGTCTTAGCTTGCAGTCATGAATGTGAGCAAAGCACACTGATATTATTAAGAGAATTGATTTTCAGTGAAAGAGAGTGAGTATGAAGCTGTTGTGCCTTGGAATACAGCACTGCATGGTTAAACATGTACCTGGAGATCTGCTGGTTGAAGGCTATTGATCTCTGCAGTCTCTGTGACCACAGACCAGAACACATCCATGTGCATCATGTTTGGGAGCAGGGAGCTAACACCAGCTTGTGAATAATTGAAGAGAAAGGAGTTGACTTTTCAGAGAGTGAAGGTTTGTGCTGCAGACAGGACAGATCAGCTGCATCTTGCTGGCACAGCAGGCAGCAGGGACAGCTCTTTGTTACATGTTGAGTGATGGCATTGTCGACAGACCTGCCTGGGTCTGTACCTGCCTGCATTGGTACAGCAAGGCCAGAAGTGCCAGCTGGAGCTGTGCTGTGTTTTGTGTCATTACCCAAAGCCTCGGGAGAGCTTTTTGGTTTGTGCCCTGTTTTATCAGGATTTGTGTTCTAGTTACTGCTTTCATATCTGGAATAAAACTGCAGCTTTCTGTCACTGTCTTAGGGGAAGCTTTCCAATCTCCATAGTAACTCTTCCCAGGATTGCTGTTATATAATATTTATAGGAGCTACGAGCAGGCTTATGAAAGGGCTTTGAAGTACCCAACACAGGACTGGATTGATGGGGTGGCTTCTGGCAGGGTGAGGTGATGGTCTCAGTTGGAGGTGGGCTGTGAAGGAATGTCTGTCTTCACAAGGGCCATTGCTCAGGAAGGGCAGAGCTGCAAATTCTGTGCATTGCCAGTGCTCCTTTTTTACCAAATTAATAACATTCATACATAGCCACCACTAGCACACAGATCTTTAAAACTCCCCTATTCCACTGGAGTTGTCTGCACCAAAACCAAAGCTGCTGTGATGACTGCTTTTAAAGAAAGATTTCCTTGCTTTCATGGACCGTTACTGGTAATGAACTGAAGCCTGTTTCCTTCCCAGATACATATTTAGTGAGCTGGGAGTGCCTGGATTTGTGTGCTGATAAAATGGGCAGCAAATGGCTGCCACAAGTGCCTTATCACCTGGCTCTTGGTGCCTCTCTGCAGCTGTGGCAGCCTTCATGGGTTCAAGTACATTGTATAACCAGACAGCCCCCCCAGTTTGAGGTGACACTGAAGGTTGTGTGGTGTTTTAGTGGCACTGAGGGTTACAAGCTCCTCTAAGCTGACCTGAAATGATTTGTTTTGATGGTCTCTGTCCCACTCGTTTAAGTTTTCAAAAGGAAAAGTGTTGCAGGGTGGATAGGTTTAGATTTCTAATTAAATTATAAGAGCAAATGCCTAGTATTAACCCTTGGTAACAGTCACTTCCTCTGCATGGGACATCCTATTTCAAAACTAAAATATGTCCATAACTGTGTTCTCTGCACACACACTCTATATTTGCTTTCTTTGCCATCTGCATGGAGCTCCTGTATTTTGCATACTGTGGCCCAAATAATGCCAGAGTTCCTTGAGCACTACAGAAGGTATAGAGTTGAAAATGCTGATGGTCTGTACCATCTATGTAGTGGCTTGAGTGTTTATGAGGAGCCAATCCTTGTAAAAGTATGCTCAGTTTTCTCAGGTTGGGATACCCTGACCTTGGATCAAGTCTGCTGCTGCACCATTCCCAGAGCTGTGCTGGCCCTGGGAATGTAGCACAGGCTGGAGTGAGTAGATTCAGTGGAGAGGGAGCCAGGTGGATCTCAGTCCTTTGACAGCAGTGCATGTTTAAACAAATTAGGAGACAAATTGCAGAAGGAAGTACCAGCACCAGGGCACTCCAATGTGAAAGTTTATGTAAGGCACCGATGGGCAAACAAGGGTGAAATGAGCAGTCCTGGCTGGATTACACTGGCAAGATAACTGGGAGTTATCTGTTGCTTGTCAGTAACAGGAGCAAAAGACATGGAAGTGCTAAAGGTTCAGATCCTGCTGTGCTGTTGCCAGAACATGGTACGTTTCTTCTCTGGGATTTATTCTTAATGCTGCATCCAGTGTGCACAGAACTGACAGACCCCATGGCTGGGTGTGCCTGGGTGTGAGGCTGCTCTCCTGGTGAGCTGTCAGCCTGCCCTGAAGAGTCACTAGTGCTGAAACATTGAAGTTAGTAGCTCCAAGAATTCTCCCCAGTTCCTCCACTTACTACTTTTCTGCCTAAAATGGACTTTTAAATATAGTAACTAATACTGTGTATCCTTTTGGTATGCATTATAGCCCTTTTTTTTGTTGATGCTGTTTAAGAGTAGTAGTTCCCAGACTCTGATTGTAGTTCTGTGAAGTATTTTCACTCGGCACCACCTGCAAAAGAAAGGCTTCTCCTCTTCCTGCTGTGTCCCACCTTCTCATGTTTTCTCCTCGCCCTGACTCAGGTGTTTGTGCATTTGTGCAGAGCTGCTTTGACTGGCCTCTTCACACCAGGAAGTGTGCTGGGGGGTGTCTGCAGATCAGCTGTGCTGCTTTTGCCAGGAGAACCAACTTCCAGCATTTGAGTGGCAGCCTTGCAGTCACAATCTCCCAGTTTGAGATTCCTTAATGAGTTATCACTCTCTGTGTAGGGATTATTAGCAGAGGAGTTTGAGGATCTTTGCTACAGGGTCTGAGATCCACAGTTGCTGCTGTGTCCTGGAAGAATATGGGCAGAGCTGGGGATTCCTGATATCTAGTTTAGAGTTGGTCTAAGGCTTGCTTTCTGGGCCTGTATCTTCTCGGCTCTGCTTCCCCTTCCCCAGCTGGAGAAAGGAAATCACTCTGTTTTTCTTCCCACTGTGACAATATGCAAGAGAAGTTTAGCTTTTTCCTCACATCTTAATCCCTATCCCCATCCCTACCATTCTTCCCCCAAATAATTTTCATGTCTTTGCTACAAACATAGGGCTGTTTGCATTGTGATGGTTTAACTTAAAATCAAAATAAGGCAACCATTGTTACTGTCCTGTAGGAAACAGTACAGATCTCACCCATGACTTCTGGTCCTCTCTCCTTAGCCAGGCACAGCGCTGTGCTGATCTGCCTGGCTGAGCCCTCCAACTTACTCAGCTCTTCCTGTCTTGCAGATGCCTGCCATGGAGCATATCTACCCCAGCCAAAGTCCCAAGTGCAGATTTTGTTTTGCTAAAAATTATTTGCTTCAGCTGCCGTCTTCCTGTTCTCTTTTTAAAGATGTTTTCTTTCTTCAGGAAAAATGTTAGTCAAAACTCATCCACTCTGTAGGAGGAAAGAGACCCTCACCTGGAGAGTGCTGAAGCTGGGAAGTGCTGTTGGACCTGTTCAAACTGAGCATGTGGTGCCATGAGTACCTTACATTGCTCCCAATGTGAGCTGCTCAGGAGCTGCTCAGGAGTGATCTTGGCACCCCAGCTGTGCCTCCCCTCTCCTGCTCCAGCTGCCTCTGTAGCTAGGCACTTGGGCTAGAGAAGAAAATGGAAAAGCAATAGTTTTGGGGTTGGTTTTTAACCAGTTCAGTTCCTTGGTCCAAGTCCATATGTAGCTGCATAGAGAATGCTGTTTGCACTAGGAAGGTCCCAGGGGAGGTAAGATTACCCCTTCTGGGGAAAGTTCACAGTCAACTTGCCTGGGAGTGATACCGAAAGTGCACCTTGAGAACAGCCTAACTATTTAAAGAAGGGTCTGTCACTTAAAGCTCACTGGTTGGGTATCTCATGCTGTAGTCCATAGGGGAATATTAATTATAAAATGGCTCTCTAAGGTAGGCAGCGAGAGGATTAGGAAGGGCTTGGGTATTAAAGGGGACAAATGGAATCATGTTCTGCCTGTACCAAGGACTTGCTGCATTAATTAAAAAAAACCAAAGGGATCCTCCATTGATTGTTTCACCTGCTGTGAGTAGGAAACAGAATCATATGCAGGTCAATGGAAAAAGCAGAAAATGGCTTGTTGTCTCTGCAGAGGTGCTCTGGGACCTCTTAAGTGAAGCAATTCTGTAGATATTAATTTATGCCTTTGTTGTCCTTTTGCTATTTTAAAAGAGTAACTTTGTAAAAGAACAAACAGCTCTACATCTCAGTGTACAACAACAAAAGACAGTGAAACTGTAGCACAAAATTTCAACAGACAAAACTCTTCCACAGTCTTCATATATGTTTTACCTTGAATACCCCTTAAACTTTTCTCTGAAGTGCCTACAATAACTCCTCAGTCACAGCAGAAGGCAGCCTTCAGTCTGAGATTTCCCTGTACAAATGAAGATGCTCAACCTAATCCCAATCCCCTGAATCTGCTGTTAGATGTCTTAGTGGCCCATTTTCTAGGGAATAATAGTTCCTATTCAAAACACAAGCGTAAAAATCCTGATGATGTCAGCTTATGTTTCTGAATAGCCTTGTGGTTGCCATTTACAACAAGGATGGTATTTTAAAAAAAAATCCCATAGCGTAACAGAAAATTTAGAAAACAAGACACAGTGTTTTCAAATAGAGCAAGGTAACATTACAGTTGACTCTGGGAATCACAGAACTATAGAATGGTTTGGGTTATAAGGGACCTTGAAGATCATCTAGATCCAACACCCCTGCATGGGCAGGGACACCTCCCACCAGAAGAGGTTGCTCCAAGCCCCATCCAACACTTCCAGGGATGGGGCAGCCACAGCTTCCCTGGGCAACCTGTTCCAGGTCCTCACCACCCTCACACTAAAGAATTTCTTCCAAATGTGTAACCTAAATCTCCCTTCTTCCAGTTTTAATTCATTACCCCTTGTCTGTTCACTTCAAGCCCTTGTCCCCAGTCCCTCCCCAGCTTTTCTGGAGCCCCTTCAGGCACTGGAAGGTGCTCTGAGGTCTCCCTGGAGCCTTCTCTTCTGCAGGCTGAACACCCCAACTCTCCCAGCCTGTCTCCAAGAGCAGAACTGCTCCAGCCCTCCCATCATCTCCATGGCCTCCTCTGTACTCGCTCCAGGAGCTCCATGTCCTTAATTTGGGGAATCCAGAACTGGACACAGTTTTCCAGGTGGAGTCTCACAAGAGCAGAGTAAATGGGGAGAGTCCCCTCCCTTGATCTGTTGGCCACACTGCTGGTGTTGCAGCCCAGGACATGGTTGTTTTCTGGACTGCAGGTGCACATTGCTGGCTCATGTTGAGCTTCTCTATCCAACATCACCCCAAGTATCATGATATTGCTACAGAAGTTACTCTCCTTCATTGGCTGACTTTCCTTGCTGTGGATATCAGCACATGTGACAGGCACTGGGATGTGGCAGGGCAAGGGGGACAGCAGGGGGCCTCAGGAATGGTTTGTAAGGCCAGGAGATGGAAGTGGATCTCTTGTGCCTTTCCCCAAGACTGCAGTTCCTGAAATGCCTTTGCTAAGTGTCACCAGTACATCTGCACCTAAAACCAGCCATGGGCTGGCTCTGGTGCTGTAGACTGTCCCTCTGACACATGAAGGACCCACAGAGATTCAGTTTCTCTTAGTTTTATGTCACTGTTACATATGTGAGTTTATGTCCCTAAAGGCACATGTTTGTTCTGGTTCCATTTACCTTGTTTCTAGTGTATGTAGGATAGACTGATTTTTATTTAGTTTGAATCAAACTGTGGCCATCATTAGAGGCAGTTTGGTGAATTTATTCAGGGCAGTTTAAGATAGATGCCTGTGAACATGAACTACCTTGTCCCTGCTAAGGTTTGCCTCGTGTCCTGAGACCATCTCTCTTGTGAGCTGGAGCAGCTGAAGAGCAATGCACAGTCTTGTTCTGCTGCCCCTGGAAAAGGGGGTGCTGTCCCACTGCAAGACAGCTGATGGTGGCTGAGAGCACTGAGAGTTGAGCTCTGCAGTGATGTTCACCAGAAGCTGCCTTTCAGCTCTCCAGCACCATTCCAGAATGGTTGCACCAGTGATGGGGTTCAGGGTCACACCCCTGTGGGATGTAGGGAGCATGGATGCAGGACCTGGCCTTGTCCAGCTGGGAAGTGCTGCTTGAGCTGTCAGTGACTTGGGGCAGCTGGGCCTAGGAAGTGAGTGTTTTCTCAAGGAATGAGAAGTGTTTAAGGAGAGATGGGATAATTAAATGATAGAGGGGTTAATTAAAGGAGAAGCCTGGCATAAAATGCTGCCAAGGGTGTAGGGTATGGCAGAGTGGGAGTACAGGCTGGGTAGAGGTAGAGAAGGCAGGAGGAGGGGAAGAGCTACTGGCTGGAAATATGTAGATTTTGAATCTTGATGTTTGGTTTTTTGCTGAGCCAGTGTGAAGACATGAATAAATACTAATTTTAATAACCGAGGCTAATTTTTTTTAACAAACCCCATCATGCCTGTGTAATACAGGAGAAACTATTACATTTGAATTATGCTTGCAAAAAGTTAACATGCTTTTCACAGCATCCTTCAAAATGTTTTTAATCAGCTTTCTTTACTTTCTCTTTTTCCCAGTGAAAATTGTCATCCGAGGGGACAGGAACACTGGGAAAACCACACTTTGGCACCGATTGCAGGGGAAGAAATTTATTGAGGAATATATTCCAACTCAGGAGATCCAAGTCACCAGCATCCACTGGAATTATAAAAGTAAGATGAAAGAGGGTGGAGGGGGTGACAGTCATGGGACAGTGCCCTGGGGGTAGAAATTCCACTGCAGCCTTGTTTGCTTCTTTCTTCTGTGTCTGCTTGGGAAATAGAATCTTAGGGGCTGGAAGGGACCTCGAGAGATCATCTAGTCCAAATATAATGATCTTTCATCATTCTTGTTATTTTAACTTATTATTCACAGTTTCTCACTCATGTTTTTAATAATTTTACCCAGAAAATATGTAAGTGCTACAGAATGGGTCCTTGGAAGCTGCATTTCAGAGAAAGTGGTTAATAGGTGATCCAAAAGTTTAGAAGTATTCGTGATATGCTTGACTTTTTAATGAAAATGGGTTTCCTGGAAATCTGTCTCTGAGACTAACCCTGCTTTTGGTGTTACTGGGTTGTGTAGAAGTGAATAGCAAGGTGCAAAGTAGTTTTTTTACTGATTCAAATATAAAGAGCATCCTGTAACTGGTGTAGGTGATGCTTTAAAAATGATAGTAGTACTAATAACTCTAGGCTGACTTACAGAAGCACAGAAGTGTCTTATCAGTAGCTTTTTTAAGTGCTTGTTGGAGTCTGAGATATGCAGTGTGAATTTTTTTTATTATGGTTTTTTTTTCCCCATCTGCTCTGACAGTATCAAGTGGCTGTGAAAGCCCTGGATCTACCTGGAGAAGACACTGCAGGCACTGACATTGCATAAGGCTGTGAATCAGCAGTGCATTTAGTCCAGCTTTCAGGTTTCTGATAAAAAATGTCACAGCCATGTGGACTGAACTACTGATTCAGTATGAACTTGTTCTGTAAGACTAGTTTTGCTTTAAAACAAAGGTCAGCAGCTAGTTTGCTGTTACCAGGCACTGCCCCTCTCTGCACCACTCTGAGCTTTTGTTCAGTCGGGTACTCTCCCTCTCCTCACAGCTGGGAAACACCCCATGCAATTTGGGTGAACACCAAATTGGGTGCTCCATCTAATTGACCAGTTGAGTTTGTGTTGCTTGGATGATGCCCAAGTCTTGTGCTAATGGTGACAGAACCACAAGGTGTGGTCATCAGCAGCCTACTCTCAACCTCTATTGGCTTCATAGACTTCAGTGCAAGGAGAACATGCAGATCCTGCTGTTGTACCTTCACAGGAAGCTGGTAAGCAGGGTTCTGGAGACTTTCATGGCCTTTTGAAGACAAGCTTCCACATGAGTCATCTTGCTCTTGACACAGGTTGAAAAGGTTTATAGAATCATAGAATAATTTGGGTTGGAAGGGACCTTTAAAGGTCATCTAGTCCAACATCTGTCCAGTAAGCTGGGGCATCTTCAAATAGATCAGGTTGCTTTCAGCCTTATCCAATCTGACCAGGAATGTTTCCAGGGATGGGGCTTTTACTACTTCTTTGGGTAACTTGGGTCAGTGTTTCACCACCCTCATTTATAGGATGGGTGATTGTGATTTGCCATGAATGTGGAAGAGAAATGGGTTATCTTTGCTCAGTGCAACTAGTTGTTTTCTCTCACTCAGGATCTGATGTTGAGCTAAGCCTGATGTCAGTTTCAGATTCTTTCATAGGGGCTCTCTGTGTGACCATGAGGCAAAGGTTAGCTCTTAGCTTCTACATTTGTTCATGAAGTATCTGTATTTTGGGTCCCATCTTCCTGATGTTCTGCTTGTCAAGTGGCCCAAGGCACTGACAGATGGGGTGTTGGGGCAGTGGTATTCCCTGTTATCACATGTTGTATTTTAGCTGTGATGTCCTTCCTCCACATTCCTCTTCCTCTCAGAATGTCAGCACATGTGATAGTGATGTGGGAACATGGAGTATACAGTTTGTTTGGATGGTAGAAACCAGCTTCTAAATCAAATCTGAATGCTTCAGATGCTAAACAGACTTAGATCTGAGTAAGAAGAGTGAGAACACTAAGAGGGGATCTTATTAATTTCTATAAATATCTGAAGGGTGGGTGTCAAGAATGGCCAGTTTCTTTTCAGTGGTACCTGTGATAGGACAAGGGGAAATGGCACCAAGTGAAAAAACAAGAAGTTCCACCTCAACATGAATAACAATTTTTCCTGTGAGGGTGACAGAGCCCTGGAACAGCCTGCCCAGAGAGGTTGTGGAGTCTCCTTCTCTGGAGACTTTCAAGACCTGTCTGGACCTATTCCTGTGTGATCTGCCCTGGGTATTCCTGCAGCAGGGTGGTTGGACTTGATCTTCAGAGGTCCCTTCCAACCTCTATGATTCTATGATTCTAAGAAATTAAATAGGTATTTCTTAAATACCCAGATCTCAAGAGTGCACTGAAAGTTACCTGCAGTTCTCTGCGATATCAAAAGTAAAAGCTTCAGTGCTTGGTTTCCTCTCTAATTAGCAAAGGTCATGCAAGAGCTGTTTGTAAATACAGCCTGGGAGTCTGGCATTTGGTTTCTAAGAGGTTTATTCATAGCTAATATTTTTTATATACATAAACAGGTATACAAACTGCCTGTCTACAGGATTTTGTATAGATGCAAAAAGGTGTTTAGAGAAAGATCCAGTCACCTCACATGGTTTTGCATTTTTTAGGGACTATATGTTCTTCTACTGAGCTGAGGCTTCATCTCTGGCTTTTTCAGTGTATATGCAGTCCTGGGGTAGAGAACAAGCTACATGTTAGACTGGCTGTTGCTGTGTGTTGGTAACCTCAGATGTATTTGTTAGTTCTAACATTTAGGTGATAAATTTCTGTAGAGCTTGCTGGTTGGAGTTGATAGCAACGTGTACATGTGGTGCTGGATTCAAGGTGAAGTGTTGCTAAGATGGAAGGCTATACATGAAATTGTGCCTTTCACTTGTGTTTCTTTTGCATTCTAAAATTTCTTAGCAATAATTTCCATCAGTGTAGGAAGTTCTCTGTTAAACTTTGTTTTAAAATAAAAACTCCCTTTTTCAAAAACATTGTGAGGTGTATTCCCTGATGTGAAAACTTTCCATCCAAGATGGGTGAGAAATTGGCTCAGATCTAATTACCACCCTGTTTGGTGAGTTAATCTGTAGAGGAAAAATAAAGTTTGTTTTTCCTGTGATCGTGCTCTCAGGCTACCTTGAATAAACATTATGAGGTAGCTGGTGGCAAATATTTATGGATATTAATTAAATCACTGTCAAATATGGAAGGATTCTTACATTGCCTGGTATTTTATTTTATTGCATTGCCTTACATTTTAGATGTGGAACATACCAGCTTGTCATATCTTCAGAAATGTTGTTCTGGGGGAATCAATAAAAATAGAAGAATTTGAGTTACGAACATGAACAAAATTCTTTTTTGTGGCAATTGTCTCGGTCATGGATATTTGTAATTTTTTGTGTCCAAGTTATCATTCCTGACCCTTTTTTAGATTATGCTAATCCAAATTTCATTCTTTGTTTGGTAGACTTAAAAAGGGAGTCTGAAATAAAAATTGCAAATAATTTGTTCTTATACTTTGATTTATAGCTGGGTATGAGCAGTGGCAAAACTGCTCTGCTTGGTAGGATTTGTGATCAAAGGCATATAAATCACGTAATTGCAGAAGAGTAAATAGATCTGAGGGCCTGTGAGTTCTTGGTGCTGAACCCACCCATAAAGGAATTATTCTTATTTTTAAATGAGCTTTTTTTGCAGTTGGAGTCTTCTCACACTTCCCTGCCATTTTCTGTGCCAGTGGCTACAGGGTACTTGGCCAAATAGCAACTGACTACAGATATTTTGAGTGATTTGATCCATAGTTTATGCTTATCCAAGTTACAGAAGTAAAAGGATGCATTGGCACTCTTTGTGCTGCAGTGTGCCTTCCAAAGCTAAGGTGAAACGCTGCTGTGTATGAGTCATACCAAAGCCAATACAGCAGCACTAAAGTAATTATCCTCTTGTGTGTTCAGGATAATCAGGAATGAAGCTGATGATGAAGAGGAAGAACTTACTGGCTTACAAGCTAGCACTGGTGCTCATGGGAAAAAAAAAAGAACACCTGGAAAAATTGTTTTCTTGGATCTTGTGCAGTCAATTTCTTTGTGAAATTCTGTGCTTCCCCTGAGATAAAAGGGTGTAGAGCAGGTCTGTGTGGGTCGAAGGGTTGAGCCCTGCTGTCTGGGAGAGCTGCAGCTCAGCAGGATGCCAGTGCTGTGGAAATTACTCAGCAGAAGAGCAAACCTTAGCCGAGGGTGCATTTGGTGTTAAGGTGTGGAGGTAGGGAAGTCTGGAGCTCAGTAGCACAGTCCCAGTACTAGGTACAGAGTCACCTCCTAGGAGAGCACTGCTCATCATCCCAGGGGCTCACTTTTCTGAAATGGGGTTCTGATTTCTCCCCCAAAGCCCCCTGTGTGCTCCTTCCCATGGCACTGCTGGAAAGTGCTGCCAGTGCCAGGGGCAGAGGGTGACTTTGGGGGCAGACCTGCTTGAGCTGTGTCCCAGCACCTGCAGGGTCATGGCACATCCTGGACAGACCATGGACTGGAACAGCCTGTGTTACAGGGACAGCCCTGTGCTCTGCTCATGGCTGTGGGTGAGTACCCAGCCATGCAGCTGTGTGCTGGGCATAAAGTGAGTAGTGGGGAATGGTTGGACTTTAGCTGTGCCTGGTCTGCAGAACTATTCAGGGACAGAATTGATTTGGGGAGTTCTATCATTTGAGCAGAGGTTTTAGTGCTGCAGGCTGCTGTACAGCTGCTGTGGTTTCAGTCCCATCTGAGCCTGGGCTGACCCTGGGTGAATCTCATTTCATCCTGTGCCCCACTGTCCTGCTGGCAGGGTGGGAGATAAGTAGGAGTTGCTCTGGGGAAAACAGAGGCTGACTTTGCTTAATGCATGAATGTAAAAAGGAGCTTTCTCCAGAAGCAGAGGATCAAAGTTTTCCTTTATTCATAATGTGTCTTGACAATTTTTTGAAACATGTAATTTAAGCCAACAGTGAATTCTTTGGAGGCAATGTTTCCTGGCTTGACAATGATGCTTAGCTAAATTCTCATGCCATCCCATGAGATTATCTTCTGCTCTGAGACATTATCTTCCTGTTCCATTGCTTGCTGTTCAGAGCTGCTCAGAGTACAAGCGTTTGCATTTTAGCCTATTGCATTTCCAAAAAACAACTGTTTCTTGCCAGAGCTTCATGAAAATAGAACTGCTATTTGGATTCAATAGAAACATGTAACCACAGCTGCCCACCCCTCGTGCCATCAGAAAGCTAAGCTGTCAGCACCAGCAGGGGTGTCTCCGTAGTTAGAATTTTGCTTGTCTTGTTTCAGATTTTAGTAGCTCAAATACATCACTGCTTATAAATTACTGATTACTGGTAATATCCTATTTTTCTCAAAACACAACTTGCAATTTGCAGAGAGAATGGATTTCTGTAGCTGTAGGACTGTCTCCACTGTTTGTCCTGCTCACATGAAGATGTTATTAGTAAGGTGGATCTTCCTTAAATGTGTGTGTATTCCTTTTTTCAGTTGTCTGCCTTGCAGACAACTATAGACCAGACTTTATTCTCCAGTGTGAATTGATATCATTTTTGAAAGAATATAGAAACCTCTGTATGTTATGAAAAGAATCTGCACACAGTATTTATAACATGTTTCAAATCTGACGTAAAACATCAAGAAAATGTAGCTGTGATTTATGTGACTGAGGTTCTTTAAGTTCTTTAGCTGGCACAGTTTTGGTGTACGACTTGGACCTTCAATAGCAGGCTGTCTTGTTATGGTTGGGTTTTCTTAACTCACTCAATAATTCCTTTTCTTGTGACATTTGTCAGCTGCTTTGACTGTGCTGGCTTTGGATGGAGCTCTCTCTGGTGAACACTGAGTGTTGGTCATCTTCCTGAAACCATCTTCTAACACTGTGTTCTTACTGTGCTTTTAGCCACTGACGATATTGTTAAAGTTGAAGTCTGGGATGTAGTTGACAAAGGTAAGATTTGTAACTTCCTTTCTAATTGAGATTCATTGTTCCTTCTCAATTTTAATTTAGAAATTACATGGAATTCAGAAATACTGACATACTTTAGAAAAATGTATGTACTTACTGTTTTCAAGTGCATGGATATTACTTCCTGAAAAAATATGGAGAGAGGAGTCTCCTGTGCTAGAGTCCATTATTTAGAATCTGAACTTCAGATCAAACCTGATACTCAGAACCAGTTGTTTCATGTGCTCTGTGACAGATGAAATAGCCCACCGCTTAGTGTATTCAGGTTCTCTGAACTTTATAATAAACTTTATCCTCTCTCCTTTACATATGTTTAGACAGCTACTGAGTTCTTTGTTCTGTTTATAAAAGTTCTTGCCATGCTGTTTTTGTAAAGGAATGCTACTGTTAAATGGATGAAATGTTATCTGCAGTGAATAATGTATGCAGGAAGGAAAGATAAATGAGAAGCCAATTGCTTAAATTCACTTTGGACAGAAAGTGCAATGTATTTAATTGCAAAATTTTTAAGTGCTTAGCCAAGGAAAGTATTATGATTTATAAGTATTTTTTCTATTAGTTTTCAATTTTTTCAGAGTATAAAGTTCTGTTTTATCAAAAGTGAAAACAAACCCCCAAACCATATGTGAAGATCCAATCTAGATACTGTAGAATCTGTTGCTGGAAGAGGTTGGGGTTCAGATGCACATCTCAACAGCCCATTCTGTAGCCCCAAATGTATGTATTGTTTGGCTTTGAAGAGGCATTCTGTACCAGCCAGGCTCCTGGTTTCAGGTGTGGGTGTGGTCAGGAAAGCAGCTCTACAAGTGAGCATCTCTTGCTGTGGGGGTTGTGCTCCTTGTTTATGTGTTTCTGTCGGTCAAATCCATTGACTACAGTTATTGTCACTTCAACTTTTATGGTCTGGCTGCTGCTGCCTTTCCTGCAGCCCTAGGTAGAATCTGTGCTGGCACATGTTCTCAGCAGAACTTCGTCGCAGGTGCTCTGTCTCCCCTCTACCACCTGGGCAACTTTCACATGCCTTAGCACTGAAAAGTAAGATGGTAACTACAATAGGGAGTGAGAAAGGGAGAAATGTAAATTTTCATGTTATTGAAATTGTATTTAAAATAGTAAAAAAGAAAAGGTAAGTAAAGATGACAGCTCTAGTTCAGGTGCATAAGGGAGCCTTGAAGATAAACTTGAGCCAGTAACTTTAAGTTAAACTCCTGGGCACTTGATTCTTTTATACTTTAAAACCCCAACTTTCACAGTATAGACAAAACCCTACTTACATCAGAATTACTGCTGAAGTCAGTGTGATTACAATTTGACTTTCAGGCCCTGGGATAACATGTGCAGGGCTGGAACCTGAGCAAAACATGTTTTGCAACTTCAGTATGAATAGATAGTTAATTTGGGAATCATGGGGTTCCAGCATTCTGTTTTGCAACTTCAGTATGAATAGATAGACAGTTAATTTGGGAATCATGGGGTTCCAGCATTTGTTTCTGTGAACAGCTTCTCCAAGCAGGGGCATCTCGACTAGAGACTTGTCATTTTTTTGGCAAAACAGATTAGATTTCATATGTGCAGGTGTTGATAGCAACTCTTCGGATACTGCTTTCATTTCTGAGAGTGGAGCATGTGTTAGAGATCTCGAGGGACTCTTTCTCTTCTCTTCACTTTATCTTCTGAAATAAAGCTCATTCTGTTAAGATTCCTACTTACACAAGTATGTATTTTTAGGTAATCAAATTTACTTAATGCATTGTGAAAATTCGGATCACGATGTAACAAAATAAAATCTTACCCTATTGCCATAGAATTGTGGATTCTTGATAAGTACAACTTTAGAAAAATGTACAAATTAACCATTAAGAGCTTGCTCACCTCTAATTCTCATCTTAATGTTATCTCATGACAGTTTTGTTCTTCTTTCTATGTGCTCAGGACAAAAAATCCTCCTGCGTGATGTTTTTGGTGAGAGCAACACTGACCTAGACTGTAGACTTTTAGTAGTGAAGTGCCAGTGTGGCTGCAGTGTGGTGCTAACAAGACCTGATCCTCCTTTTTTCCCTTGCCTACTAAATCCTGGTTAATGTGCATAGTTAGAGTTGTGCCAAGCGCTGCATTTATCAGGCTGCATTTGAAACTGCCAAAAAAGGCATGTTCTGAACATGCATTGCGACAACACACGTTGTTCTCCAGGTGAAGTATTTTTGCTAGGATTTCACCATCTTGGAAGAATTTTTCTTTGCTAGAGAAAATGAAGATACTTGTATTTAAATGAAGGAGTTTGAAAATGTGTTGAAAGCCTGATGTGGGCTAGACTGTCTGAATGATGTGTCCATAAACCGCAGTTTTCAACTTTAGTCCTGTAAAACAGCTTCAGCCTCTGCTCTGCTGTGCAGTGTCTTGGTGTGAATGTGCACCAGAGGGTTTGGGGAAACTTAATAAACTTCAAGTACGTATTAGCACTGAAGTTAAATGTGGCTTTACCAAGTGATGTTCCCTTCGCGCTTACCAGCAGCCTCCTCCCCATCCTTCACTCAGCAGCTGTGCTTTCACCTTCCCCTTCAAGCTGTGTGAGGAAGGCAGGAGGCAGCTCTGTTGGCCGTGCCTGGCTGGTGCCATTTGCTTAGCATATAGATGTTAAATGTATAATTGTGGGGAGATTTGTTGTGAAAGCTTAAAGCCTGGGAGGTTGGTTGGTGCACTGAAGCAGGGAGCAGTGATGACACCTGTCCTGCTGTACAGCTCCTCTTACCTTTTCCTCCATATTTTGGGATTTCTGTGTTTGAACATGCAGAGTCACTGGAGCACCCTCATACCTGCAGCCTGCTGTGTGCTCCTTGGGTCTACTCAGAGAGCAGGGGCAGGGATCTACATGAGGGGGTCCAATGCAGGGATCTACTTGAGGGGGTCCAATGCAGGGCTACAAGGATGGTGAAGGGGCTGGAACACCTGCCTTATGAGGAGAGGCTGAGACACCTGGAGCTTTTCAGTCTAGAGAGGAGAAGACTGAGGAGGGATTTAATTAGTGTCTGTAAATACATGAGGACTGGGGATCAAGAAGGCAGGGACAACCTCTTGTCACTTGTGCCCTGTGATAGGAGGGGCAATGGATTCAAACTCAAGCACAGGAAGTTCCACCTGAACATGAGGAAGAACTTCTTTCCTGTGAGGGTGACAGAGCCCTGGGCCAGGCTGCCCAGAGAGGTTGTGGAGTCTCCTTCTCTGGAGATTTTCAAGACCTGCCTGGATGCCTTTCTGAGTGATCTGCCCTAGTTTTTGGTCCTTCTCTGGCAGGGGGGTTAGAGTCATTGATCTTCAGAGGTCCCTTCCAACCCCTGACCGTCTGTGATTCTGTGTTTGTGTAATGATGCCACTTGTTAGAATTTTAAGGAGTAGAGCTTGTCCCCAGCTATGGAGCATACTGAATTTTGTGCAATGTGTGTAGTAAATTCTGTCTCCTTTGCTGCCCTTGGAACTAATAGAAGATAGGAAAGATATCTCTCAGCACAAGTCACAGATCTGACTCATCTTTCTGGCTTTGCAGCACGTTGTGTAACTATTGCAACTCATAAACCAGTAACAGATCCTGAATGCAGAGAAGCTACTTGAATGCACGTGATTCAAGAACAATTGTGATCTCCTGTCCTGGAACTTCTGCTAGCTTGGTTCCTGCATCTTTTTGCATGCACTTACTGAAGGGATCAAATAATGTTTTTTTCTGTTAGCCCAAAAATAGAAGAAGCATTCTCATATGGGAGATTCCGTTCCTCTCCCTGCCCCTTCACCCCGTTGCCTCCCAGACACGTGCTGCAAGAAAGGAGGAATGATCAGAATTCATGTTTCTGTTATTTTCAGGTATTCTAAGTTAGGTAACACTGAGGATACAAATGTTCTAGGCAGGTATTTTTAATGATAAACAGAAGCATCTCCCTTGCACTGCAGACAGCATTTGCTGGCAAGCTGTACTGAACCCTTGCTATCCTGCAACAAACCTGATGGCACACAGAGGTACAGAGGCTCTCATGTGCTGGCTATGAACCCAGTCCTCTGGTGTTCAGTAAAAACTGATTTGTAGACTTTGGGGTACTGCTGCAAGGTTATTTGGTCTCAGTGTTGCTATTATGCCTCTAAATAAGGAGCTGCCATCACTAGGTAGAGAAGCAACCTTGCTTTTTAACTGAGGCTCCTGGACTTAAAACACAGGACCTCATTCATAAAACAACACAATCATCATTGTGCACTTCTTTTTACAGGCTGAATTGCATCTTTTCACTAAATATATCTTGTCTTTATCTGGCTCATGCTGCAATTTTGGTTCCAAAAATAGACACTGCATGAGTATGTGCACACATGCGCTTTTCAGCACTGTTACTCCTTTATAGATGACCTCCTTTATAGCAGTGGTGAGTAATATGTAAGAATATGACTTATTCCTCTGGATACACACATAAAGCCACAAGCAGGGAGAGGTGTGAAAGTTGTATATTCAGTCTCAAAGCATTGGTTGTGAATCGGCCCAGGTTAGAAAGACATGTTGATTGCTCAGGACAAGAGGACCTGTGAAGAGTGTTTGTGGTTCTTGGGCTTCTGTTTTAACACCTAGAAATTCAGGTCATGCCAAGCATAATTTAGCACTAACTGCAGAAATAATGATGTTTTGACATTCAGAGAAGCCACATGAATGCCACTGACTTGAAATGGAGTAGGAAAAGACATGCACATCCCAGACATCCCACAAGCTTCAGTTGTACTGGGAAAAGTCAGAGCCCATACTTAGATCCTCTAGGGAAACACACTGCATGATTAGGAAAGGGATCAGGATTAGTATTTCTGCTCCTTTCAGATGTCAACAAGAGAGGGGCAGTGATGCACAGAAGCCCCCACCAAGCACAGTGTCAGGGTTCAGGGACTGGAATCTCCTGCTCTATCCTGCAGCATTGAAACTTTAATGAATAAGTCTGTATTTCATAACTTTATCTGCATGCAAAAAGAATGGAATGCTGTTTCACAAGCAGCATCTGACAGAACCAGGAATTTTACAAGTAGTTGCCCTGTGTTAAACAGCAGAGTTGAATAGGAAGGAGGTGGAAGTTATTTTGGTCCCCAGTGTTGCAGCCTTTTAAAGAGGTGTTTTTGTGAGTGCATCCAAGATGCCAACACATTTTGGTGTCAGTGGCACTGGAGTTTTCTAGAAGTTATGAGAAGGAATCCCAAGTGTCTGCCATTATAATTTAGGTAACTTGTCATTACTTAGACTAGGAAAATACGTAACAAAGTTAATTCAGGAGTAGAATCTTAGTTGCTGACAGTAACATATGAAAGATACTTGGTTTCTGTAAAACCTCACTCCAGATCTTGCAGAGTTACTCATTGTGCAGTGCTCATCATTTGATAAAACTCTGGAAGCTGCTGTACTGCTGAAGAGTTTAAACAATACCTGAGGGGATGAGGACAGATTTTTCCACGATGTGTCCACACTAAACTTCTTCGGCAGTAGGTGAAAGAAGATGTCCTCACTGTTACATATTTGAGTCTCTGGCAATCCTCAGTGCTGAGTGTCTACAGAAAACCATGTTAGCTGGTGGCCACTCTGATGGTCATAGGTACAGACACGTGATGATGTCTTCTCTGTGTGCTGTTTGCAGGCTTGAAGAGCTGGAAAGTGACAGAATTTTCAGAGAGCTTGAGGTTTAAAAACACTAATGGCTCTTCTGTGGATGCTGAGTCAAATGCCAGTGGTACTTTAAAATGTCAGAGTGTGAACTTACCCAGTGCTTGTTGAGGGCATAAGAGAAGGGAGAAGTCTCAGGAGATCTGCCCTTTAAGTATCACGGCTGTATCACGTGCCTTAGAGGAAGCAGATGAGTTGGAGAGAAACCTCTAGATTCCTTCAGGTGGGACTGGGGCTGTGGGACTGTAGAGCATGTCTCTGTAGTGGTTTTCTGGTCTCTCTTGCACATTCCTGTGAGGTAATCAGTTTTACCTGTCCTCTAGCTTATTTTTGTGTGTGTCTGTAGACCATGTGGCTTTGGATGGTGCCTCTGGAGGATTTCCTTTCTGCGCTTTTGCTGGTGTTGACCAGACGTGACCCTTTGGCCCTGACCTTTCACACATGTGCAGACTGTCTTTCCTCTACTTCTCCACAGCTCCCTTGCTGTTTATTTGATTTTGCTTGAATAACTTGACTTTGGATAAGGTCTGTCTTCTGGCTGTTAAATTCTCACTGATTCCTGCCACCTCTTTTTTTTGGTTGCAAGTCAGCCCACAGCACCCAGCTGGCTCTGAGATCACATTTCTTTGCAGGTCAGTGATATAGCACAGCAGCATAATAGCATTTCTCAGGGCAGCTGTGTACATAGTTGTGCTCTTCAGCCCCTCAGTCTTTTGCTTCCTCAACACTAATTCAACAGAAAGTGCAGCAAAGCAGCTTCCCTTTGTGGTCAGGGGACCAAACCCTGTGTTATTCAGTCATTTTAACTCCTTGCTATGAAGAACATGATTTAAGCTGCCCTAGACTTACTTCCTATTCATCTTTGAATGAGACTAGCTGGTGTTCATGAACAGGTATTCTTCAGCAACGCATGCCTGTCCCACCCCTCCTCATTACCCAAGCTTATAGGAGAGGTTGCATTTGCTTTAATGTCATGTTTAAAGTGCTGTTGTCCTGCCCAGACCCATCCTAGACTTCTCTGCCTGGTGTAATGCTGCTGCTTTTTGTTTGTTTGTTGTTTTTTTTCTTCCAATTCTTTTTAAGGAAAATGCAAAAAACGAGGAGATGGTTTGAAACTGGAAAATGACCCTCAGGAGGTGAGTCACCTTGAATGCAGATGTCTGCCTCTTAGTGGGAGGCCTATAGTCACCTTTGGTCCATGGAAAGTAAGTTCTGTGTTTGTTTATTTTTGAAGGCCGGCCCAGCAGGTGGATGAGGGGTGATGTGATCCCTGATGCTCTCCACTGTTTTGCCCATGCGTTTTATCCTTCACCAAAACTTGTCTGTTGTTTTCCATTCTGTCTTTTGGGAATGACTGCACCCCAGTAGCTTTGTAGCTGTCTGCAGATGAGTAGTGGCAAGAAGTCCTTTTGTAATGGACTTCTCATAAGACCTGAAGAAGTCACTTGATGCTCTCTGGTTGCTCCTTAAAACTAGGCTAACAATTACCATTTAACACCCTTTGAAATACGAAGGAGGAAGGGGCAATAAAGGTGCTACCTGGAATGTAAATGTAAACAGAGTGGCTTCCTCAAGGCTCTTGCATTAATGTGTCTCGTTTGGATCTTCTGCTGTAGAACAAAGTGCTGTATGGGGGACCTTACTATCACATTTCCCAAACTCTTTGTGGGCTGCCAGTGGACTTCCATGGCATCTCTTTCAAAAGATGAGTGGCTTAATCCTCAGGAAAACTTCAGTTTAAAGGCCTTTGATCCTGTGATCTCAGCTGCAGTTCTTCAAGAGCTGTATTCTGTATTGCTCCTGTTGTGCCCTTTGGGGCTCAGGGCATGGACAGTGTCCTGGTGCTCACTCAATAAGGACTTGGTTGAAACTGGTGGGAAAGGCAGTGTCACTGGTGTGCAGAGAGCTGAGTGCTCAGGTTTGGGGATGGGTCAGGGCAGTGAAGAGTTACCATTTTCACCAGGGTGCCAGTCCTGCTCAATCTGTGCAGTCAGGTTAGAGGAATTTTCTTTAAAAATACTCTCCTGTGGGGAAAAAGTCTCTATGGGAACAGATGCTACAACTGCTTCTTCCTTCACAAATGTGGGTGCATTTTCCACTCCTGGGAAATGAGTGAGAATTGTTCCACAGGCAGCAAATTGCAGCAGGAGCCTTGGAAGCTGAGTTGTAACTAGTACTGTATTTTGCAGTGTGCAGGGTCCAGATTATGAAAAGCAAATCAGATACTAATAGATACTTTCAGCCCTGCATGGGAGAAACTCAGCAGAAACTGCATCCTGGCTTTATATACCAGAAGCATTAGAAGTACATTCAATATCTGGATCAGCAAAGAGATGGCATGGGATCTGTATTCTCTGTCCTCCATCCTGCAGCTTATATGGAGTTAACTTGTCCACATGGGATTTGGGGGTACGGGGGAAAGAGGAGGGGATGGGCTTTAGCATTTCCTGTGAGATGGGTTTTTTTGGAGACTCTCAGGTGCTTCGTGTCCTGCTCCTGTGGGCAATGAAAGCTGTGAGCCACCAGGTATCTTGTGTAAACGATGATGATGTGAAATCCATGGATATTTCTTATAGGAACTGTCACTTCAGAGAGTTCGCCTGTTCATCACTGTATGAGTTGTGTTCTGTACAAGTCTGAAACTGAATGAAGTTATTTACTGCTTCTTTTGCCTTTATTTCCCCAGGCAGAGTCAGAAATGGCTCTGGATGCAGAGTTCCTGGATGTCTATAAGAACTGCAATGGTGTAGTGATGATGTTTGACATCACCAAGCAGTGGTAAGGCATCTCCAGCAGCAGAAACCACAGGATTCTCCCTTGTTTAGTGAAAGCAAATCAGTTCTACACCTCTTGGTTCCCAGATGGACTTGAGAGTTAATAAAGTGCCTAAGGAGTTGAAGCAAGCTTGTATCCCTTAAAATAATAGCTTTATCTTCTGACAACTCATTTCATATGCTCCTCTCCTGGGCTTGTTTCAAACAAGCAGCCTGTGGGCTTGTGTGCTGTGGTTTCTGATCCATCCTGCTGTCTGAAGCTTGATAATTAGTGCTATCATGGGTGCAAAGCATGCTGGGCATGGCACAAACCCGTGCTCTTAAGGACACAAGGGAGACAGAAATGCTACTGAGAAATTCCCTGGAAGCCCGGTGTTAGTCAGGGTTATTTAAAGGCCCAAGGCTGCATTAATGTGCAGAAATAATGAGCTGTTCATTTTGCACATCTGCTGATGAGGGTGAGAGATATATGGAAGCCAGAGTGGAAAGAGGAGGTGTCAAGAGATGCTTTATATTTAAGCTTGTGCTTTACAGGTTTGATATGGGTCAGTGAGCCCGCTGAATGCGGAAGGGACTGAACCCTTTTCCTCTGCTCACCCCACACAGTTTTGTAGGACTGAGGGAAATGTTGCTGTAGGAGATGTGAAAATGCTGGCACAAGTGGATTATTGAACTTGTCTAGTGGTTTTTTAATAAAGAATGATGCAAACATATTTACATGTTAATGTATTTCTCTGATGGAGGAAAATAAACCACAGTATTGGAAGGATTTGGGGAAAAAGTCTTGCTTTGGGTTTTTGTCTGTGATTTGTGCATGGGACTGCTCAAAGAATGTTTCCTACTCATCTGCCTGTGTCTCTCTCCTGTGGTGAAGGACATTTAACTATATTCTAAGGGAGCTTCCCAAAGTGCCGACCCACGTTCCAGTGTGTGTGCTGGGGAATTACCGGGACATGGGGGAGCACCGGGTCATCCTGCCTGGTGATGTGCGGGACCTCATCGACAGCCTGAACAGGTGAGGTGGCACCAGGGTCATCAGACAGGGAGCAGAGCTTGGCTGCTCCCATCACCCCTGGGTAGCTGTGTGGCTGCTGGGCTTTGGATGCACACCACATTCACCCTTGGGCCCTCTGCCTGGCTTTTAGGCTTTGGTAGCTCCCAGTGTCTCCTGCAGCAGCCTCAGTTTACACATGGATTCTTGTTCCTTTGGTCTAGGAGCCTGTTCTGGGCAGAGTGTTAGCTATATTCCTGGAAACAGGGAGTGCCTCCCAGCATGTGCCTTTCTGAAGTACTTTTCCCAAGAAGTCACCTTCTTTATGGATGATCCCTGTTGTGAAAGAATCCTCTCCCTGCAGCACAACTGCTAATTCTGCTACAAGAGAGCCAGCTGGTGAACCTGTCTTCCTTCTGAGAGCATCCCCACACAGCATTTACTGGCACAGCCCAGTCATCCACCTCCCTTGCCAGCCAGACAAGAATTTCCCTATGAAGAGATCTAAAACACTCTGTTATTTAGTATAAAATATCATTTGATGGGTAGGATTCAATAGATTGTAGCTTTTCTCTGTGTTTTTAAGGCATGAAACCCCCAGTTTAGTAAACCAATGGCCCAATGTCCTGACATAGTCTCTCTTAGCCTGGCAGCCCCAGAACACTGCCACACAACAGCCACCTTCTGCCACCCTCCAGGAGGAGCAATGTGTGAATTTTGTCTGTCAACAAAATAAGGAGTCCCTGGCAGAATGACCTGCTAGTCTACATATGGGGGTTGAGGGGTTGGCTTGTAAATGAGGACTGCTCGTGGTATGTCATTCAGCAAGTACCTCTTCTGTGTGTACCCACTACCTGTCCTTTTACAGTTGTCTTCTCTCTCTCTCTCTGATTGAGGCAGGCCTCCTGGTTCCTCTTATTTTCGCTATGCTGAGTCTTCCATGAAGAACAGCTTTGGCCTCAAGTACTTGCACAAGTTCTTCAACATCCCCTTCTTGCAGCTGCAGGTAAGAGGGGGTGTTTCCCTAATGTGCTGGTTGAGTGGGACAGTTTTCATTTTCTTTGTTTCTGAGGTGGGAATTTGGGGTTTCTTCTGGTGTTAAAAGATCACAAGTAGACTTTTGTTTTCGTAAGAGTTGTTAACAAAATGATGTGAGTACATTGGTGCCTGTGACTTAAATGTGTCTCTGCTTCCATGAGGACTCTTCTCTGCTGTGTTTGCCAATGCTTACCTCTGAAGAAAGGCTCTAAGGTCATGAATAACACTGGCAAGAAAATTGCATCCAGTGATGCAGTTACCAAGTAAAAAATGTTACACACACACATTAGTTAAACTTTGTATTCAAATTCTGTTTGATTAAAACTCAGATGAAAAGAGATTTGGCCATGAACTTGAACAGTTCAGGGACACCTGCTGAAAATCTTTGCCCTTACAGTAACTGTTCTGCTTGGATCCTGTGCACGTAGATCCCAGTCTTCTGTTTCCTTCATAATTGAGGCTTCTGGTGTGGACTGAGAGGAAAGGCGAAGGCTGAATGGGAACAGAGGAATGGAATTCTCAGCTGTGGTCCTCTAGAAGAGGACCTCATGGGGTGATCATACAGTGGCCTTTTGGGATCTACGTTATATGCTTTTTGGAGATACACACGCCATTGTATCATTGCTTCCTATTGGATGGAAAAAATCAGGCAGTTGATCTTGATTGTGTTTCACCAGTAAGCGAAATGTTTGTGTGTGTTTTTATGCAAATAATCCCCACTGAAATGCTAGTTCAGAAGAAGCTGGGATATATTGGTGAATGTTGCAGTCCTCAGGCTGCACAGCAGAAAGAAGCAGGATAAGAAAACAGAATGTCTAAAAACCCAGTGAAACAAGTCAAACAATAATTCTTTGAGGAGGAAGTTGTAGAACTCTGAGCTATAACCCCAACTTGCTGGTCAGTGGAGAAGATTGAAATCAACCAGCATGGTTAAATGGTTGGGTTTATAACCTCAGATCCTATGGTAAACAGTGTGGAAACCACACAGAGTAATGAGTTCCCAGGTTACTTTTGTCAGTTTTCTAGATCTCTCATGTTTTTCTCAGATGGATGTTGATAAGAAATTAGCACAGCTTTCTGCCAGGTTTGTTTCCAAAAGCTGCTCATAATGATCCTGTTAATAGTCAGTATATGTGATTATTTTCCTGGCCATAGTTATAAGCAGGAAATACAGAAGCATTTGTAGTATCAGGTTTGCTTGGAAGCAGCTGTAGGATGAGAGTCTTACGGGACCTTTCATTTCAATGTGCTGTGTATAAGTAAACATCTGTTAATCTGAGACCGAAAGCTGTTAGGTTACTTAGGTAAGGTAATTGGCCCCAAAGCCAGATAACTTCTTGGACAAATCTTGGTCTTCAGGGCAATAGAAAAAATAAATCTGATAAAACCTTTAGCTCTTTGGAGAGTCCAGTGACAGCTTCTTAGAAGTGATGGAAATGGGGTGACCAGCCCACATTTTTTCTCCTTGGGGTGGCACTGGGGGTAATCCAAAATATCCAGGTGCCACATAATTAGACTCCCAAATTCTGGTGTTTGTTTTTTTTTCTCATGTAATGTAATTAAGTAATTCAGTACTGCAGAAACAAACCTGAAAAGACCTCTCAGTTTAGTTCCTAAACTGTGCAAGGAGAGACTTGGGTGGGCACATATAAACCATGCTTGGAAATATGTTTGTACTGTTCTTTGTACCTTGACACAGAAGGTGATGGTTGAGGACTTTGTCCTGTGCCAGTCATTCAAGGTCAGGGTGATCAGACCATAGCTGCCTGGCCTCTCCTTTGAAACAGCAGTGCTAAAACTAATTCCTGCACTTCTGTGCTCATACAGGGATAGCAGACAGGTGCTTTTCTGTGCATTCTGAAAAAGATCACAGCATGGGATCCAGTGTGGAGCTGGTCTTGCCATTTTGTGCCATGGCAGGTGATGCTGCAAATTTGGAGGCTTTTGGTTGCTTCCAGCAGACTTTGGGGCTTTCACTTGGTGTGAAATATCAGCCAAGATGTGCTGCAGTTAGTTTTTCCAGACCTGTCTGCATTTGTGCCACAGGTTTCTGAGCAGAGCTCCATGCTGCTCCTCAGCAGCTGCTGCTGGGTGGCTCTGGGTGTTCAGCTGCTCCTGAAGCCCTGTTAGGATTCTTGCCTTGGAGTGCCCAGGCTGGCCCCACGAGGCGTGATTAATAACCACAGTGTTCACACCTGTAGGAAAATCACAGCTAGTCTTAATTCCTAAAGGTTCTGCTTAAACCCTCAGATTTGCCGGTAACAGGCTCCGGAAAGGAGTAATGTCCCTGGCATGTTGGTGCAAAGCATGGTTAAAGGAGAGGAATGCTACCAGGTCTTAAATGCATGTAGGATTTAATCAGTCTCTGTTGAGCTCTGAGGTTTCTGTGCTCTCAAGGTGAAAAGCTTTTTAGCTGTGTGGGAGCCCCACGCTGTCTTTCAGCAGAGCTGGTGTTCAGTGCATGGGTTTGAAGTTGCACATTTCTGGGTTCAGCTTACAGTCATGCATCTTTCATTAAGAAAGTGGTGGCTGAAATTCATACCATCAGAACAGAGCATGTTCCCTCTAGCAGCCCGGACTCTTCAATTATTTATTAGCTCCTTTCCAGGGGAAGGATTGTCAGACCTAAGAGTGCAGTTTAGGTGTTGCTCGTGGCCCATATCATGTGCAAAAGGGATCAGGTCAGCTGGGCCTTCAGATGCTGCGCTGGAAGGAGACAAAAAGTTGTGCAGACAGCCGAAATTGCCTTTTGCCAGGAAGCACTTAAAAGTGGTATTCAGCCAAAGCACTGGGTGTAGCACATGATTTATTCCCTTCTTTTGGGTCATTGCTAAAAAATAAGCTGTTTCTTTAGCATTTTAATACCAGCATGGTAAAATAGAATTGATTTTTAAAGTATTTTGAAGTCTGTTGTTAGTGATGAATTTTTAGAAAATAAGATGCAACTCTTTCATAATTAAATCTAAGTTCTTAATTTACTGTGATCTCCGAAAACTGAAATGAATACAACTCCAGTATATGTCTTACTGCCACTTGTTTAATAAAAGCCATTGTCTCAGTTCCCAGAGTAAGCACTGGTAGGCAGTGTCCTTTCTGTCTGTTTATTTAGCTCATTTGCCCAGCATTTATTTCACTCATCTTAGGAAACTGAGGAAAAGAAGCAGAAAACTTGCTCCTTTTTTGTCTCATTTTTGCTTACACTGTATGAATAGCATGAAAGGATGAAATCTATCACTTGTAAAATTTTTTGTTTCTTGAATCTTGAATTAAAAAATACAGAATTACTTCTAAAATCTTGATTAGCACTTCTGTTTAGTGTAGCAAGTTTAACTGTTTACTAAAATTTTGTTACCACAATAAAGGGAATTTGAGTTAGCTAATTACTTAATCCTTCTTTGTATGCGTGTTAGTTGAAGTCAAGTTTCCATCTGCACAGAGCATATGAATATAATGAATAAAAATGACCTACCAAAGAAAATATGGATCAGGCCAAGTTCTTAACACAATGACAAAAGTGAAAATGAAGAATCTAAATGTCTTGGGAGCAGTAAATTAGCTTAAATTAACACAGACTCTCTTAAAGAAAAACTGTATCTTCCAGTAAATTAGCATGTTTAAAGGTTATCAACCACTATGAATCAATCACCTGCCCTTACAAATATAATACCAAAAAAATTACTTAAACCTTGCTTGCTGATTTAAATCATGGTGGAATTTGATATAAATCAGCCTGTCCCATGGAGGGCGCACCCAGACTAATCCCCTGGGCAGAGTAGTCTGGTCTGTTTGATACACGGCAGAGGAGTTACTTGCTCTCGAAATTTGTACACTTTCTTGATAGCTCCGAAGTTGTCATGTCTAGGAAACTGTATTGTCATTAGTATATGCAGTGGAGACTGAACACCATGGCTTTATACAAGTGTTTGTCTTCCCATAGGGATTTTATTCTGTAAATTATGTAGATTTCCTTTTGTGCTCATTACTCCAGTGGGTTCTTTCTGCAACGAGCTTGAATGTTGTCAAACATGGAATTAAAAATTCACCAGAGTTACTGATGCTAAATTTCAAAAATATTTGTGGTAGTAGAAAGCTTAAGTGTATGTTGAGAACAAGGCTGCTATAAAAGCAAAAACCTTTGCAGATTGGAGAAAACCTGCATGTTCTTTTGCCTCCTCCTGCCAGGGTGGTGGAGCAGCCTGGCAGCCTGTGGCACTGGTGCAGCACCGTGAGTCATCCAAGGAGCCTCAGCACAAGCTGTCCCTGCTGCCTGGGCCACTTTGTCTGTAGGCAGTGGGAGAGGGAGGATTGATAGTTTCAGGCACTGAACATTGTGACTTTGACTCCTGAATTGGGTGTGTAAACTGACTCACATGCCTGTTGCTCTGAGCGTCCCCAGGAGGCAGGGGCTTGCTGGGGGTAGGCAGCTTTTGATATCTTCTTGGTGCCATCCAGGTGCTTGGGAGTTGCAGTTGATTTTCAGCCTATTCAGCCAGCACTTCCCTTAGCTGAGGTTTTTGCTTGGATTCTTTTGGAAATGTGGAAGGGGAACGACTGAATTAAGTTGCCCTGTGTTACATTAATGAAGCCAACTCACTTTGTTGCACACTTGAAATGGACAGGAGTGGGTGTCCCCCATTTGTGGGCAGCAGCTGAAGGCAGAGGGGTAGCGACTTATAAAATTTCATGGAGCTGACTGGTTGTGCTCACTCATCTACCCTGACAGTAAAAAACGTTACTGTGAGGAAACTGCATCAGCTGGCCCCTACTCACAGAGGGGCTTCTTTAGCACACGGGAAAAGTACAGGATCAGAGTGAGCTGTACTCTGCAGGAGTTGATACTGGCGATGCTGTGTCTGAAAATCACACATGATTGGTGTGAACATGATCGGTTTCTAGTTGAGTGTAGCTCACACAACATATTCCTTTCTTACCCACATTAATGCGCTTCTGCTACTGCTTCAGCTTCCCTTTGTGCTTCTGTATTTAAACTGAACACAGTGAAAGGGACCAAAGCTCCTGTTTAATTCATTACTGTGGTGACACAAGATCTCACTGTACCCTGTGAGCACACAGAGATCTTTTACCATGACCCTTCCTGCTCAGACCCAGCTTGTTTTTCTTTCTTCAGAGGGAGACGTTGCTACGGCAGCTGGAGACGAATCAGCTGGATATTGATGCAACTTTGGAGGAGCTGTCGGTGCAGCAAGAGACAGAAGATCAGAACTACGAACTGTATGTCACTGAGCAATCTGTCTAACCTCTGTAGCAGTCTGTGTTTCAGGGAAATGTTGGGCAGCCCCAGCTGTGGTATGCTGCCAGACTGAAGGTTCTCAAGAGTAACATTTATGGTTTCCATGGATCTTGTAAAATGTTGCTTTTAAGTGGCATCACCTCAAATAAAGCCTGAACTTGGGAATCTCTGTGAAAGGGGCTGGTTCCTGCAGCACGTGATCTACAAGAGGGCAGTGGAGGTGGAGCTGAGCAGCACTCCTGGAGGCAGCACATGCTGAAGGGATTGTAGATGAGTATGTTGCAACCTCTGATGCTGAAAGGGGATATTTTCCATCTCTACTGCTCAGAACACAAGTTTTTGGGGTTTTTTTTCTGGCTATTGCTTTCCTGTTTATTGTGTGTCTTATGATAGGCAGACAGTAATAGCAACAACATTGTTGTCTTTTGTTCCCTATGAATACTTCTAGGCTCATCACTGAAATTCTGTTTAGAAGAGTGGCTAGTTCCTGCTGCCTCGTGCTTGTTCAGTGCCCTGTCTGTTTGCTTGCTGCTTGAAATGAGCTTTTTTGCCAGATTAGCTCCACAAAGCCAGTACATCTGTAGCACAGTGAACAGGAATCTCTTCAGATTTGTATTTTGTTGACAAATGCATTCTGTGAATTCCCACTGCAAGTTCCTTATTGCAGTAATGTGCAAGCCAGAAAAAGCAACCCTGGAATGAATTGGAAAAGGATTCTTTACAGGCAACTTTATTTGGAAGTTGGAATCAATAATTATGAAATGTTAATGCATAGCTATTTTGACAAGCATTTTTCAGACCAAGTTTCAAGTTCTGTAACCTTGCTCAGTGATATTCCTTTGTGAGAGCATTGAAATGCCCCATGTACACACAAAGCAGCACTGTTTCCAGAGTGTTCACCTCCTTCCTTTGCTTAGGGGCAGGTTAGTGTCCTCAAGCCTTCAGCAATTTTCTTGATGTAGCTACTCAAAGGACTGGGATGTGTGGGCTGTGCTGTCAGATTGTTTTCCAGTACTTCTGTTTATTCAGCATCACTAATGGGAAGATGGTTAGAAAAATCAAGAGTTGGCAGAGCTGTTCCAAACTCGTACCAGGAGGTCTTGCTACTTAGTCATCTCTCACCCTTTCACCAGCTTTAGCATTTGCTGGACTCTCGTATGTGCCAGTTCAGCTCACAACTTTCTGAATTAATCTAAGCTGGGCTGGATCTGAGAAGCATCTCCTTAACACTAGACTGCAAGGGAAGCAGCAGCAGTAGGGGACTGGCAGAGGTGGAATGGCAAGACCAACTAGTTCCAACAGTGGATGTCAGACTGCATTATCCCATCCAGTGTAACCACAGCACCGTGCACCATTTCATAATACTGGTGTGCTTCCCCTGGCAGAGAGTACTGTGTCTGGGCACGTGCTCCTGCAGAAATACTGTCATTACTAAAGAGTATCATTTGCAATGTACTGGCATCCAGAATCCTGGGGCCAGGCTGGTCACCTTGCTCTTGGCACTGTGCACTGACAAATCAAAAAGCATGTTCTGGCCTTGCGTGAGCTCAGAGGAGCTTTCGGTGCAGTTGGTGCCCAGCATCACCTCAGGCGTCACTCTGGGTCATCTGCAGAAACTCCCAAGCCAGAGAAACATTTGAACCACATGTCAGTGCCCTGTTATTCTCCAGCATGGGAGGAACAGGAAAGAGGGGTGCACCTGAAGGTTCAGGCAGAGCAGCTGCCCACCTCCTCTCCTGGGAGCAGTAGCAGAGGGCTGCTGCTCAGTTGCTAGGTGGGCTGCCATTGCGGGGGGCCTAATTCCACTCTTAGGCTGCATAATTGACTTAACATGGCCTAAGGAATACCTTAGCCACCATACCTGACAGCAGTGGAGTTGCTAACATGCTAACAGCAAGACTTTTTCCAAGGATTCTGGTTTAGCAAAAAAAATGGCATTTCTATGCAGTTGACCAACTTCAGCTTTCACTGCACATTTATGTCTGTGTACTGAGACCAGTGTGCTTTACTTTCAGAAGGTAACACTTATTTATAGATAGTTATTGAAAATATCCCTGGATGCTTCCTGGCTTGAGCCACTGATCCCAAAAGAAAAAAGCACTGGGCCATGTCATATCCAAGTACTTTGATCACACTGACTAAAGGACAGTGCTATTTTAGGATTGTTGTCTCTGCATCCCAGGTAGAAACAATTAGTCTGTTCCAGTAGCACCTCTCTGAAACAGATGAGCTTCAACTCCAGAGTTGAAAAGTGTACTCTTACTGTGTTAAGTTTTTATCTGCAGGCTCAAGTCCTTTAGCAGAGATCCCAACTAAAAGAACACTCATATGTTAGGGAACTCTGAGTAAAGTCCAGATTGTTAGTGAACAGCTTAGGCTGGTTGGACACCAGTTAATTGTGGAAATCAGAGCTTGCAGCTTGGGGACAGATCTGCAGTGCTCGTGTCCAAGTTTGTCTATGCCCATCATTTTGGGATTATCATCTTTGGAGCAGATGTCACAGTGAGCCTCTGGAGCATTGTGCTGGTTGTGTTTATGCTGTGTGCTGGAGCAGAGGGCCTTGCTGACCCTTGCCAGATGTGAGGACCTTGTGTCAGCTGCTTTGGTTAAGACAGGAGTTCTGGTGCTGCTCAGCAAAAATTGTGCAGCAAGGTGAGGTGTCCTTGGGCAGTGGGAGCTTCAGGCCGTGGTGTGGCTGCTGCAGCACCTCCTCTGAGGTAATTCCTGCACTCCTGCCATAAAATCAGGCCGTGGAGCAAGGGGAGGTGACAGCACTAGGACATCTGTGCACATCTAGTAGCTGCTCTGTCACAATAACCGATGCTAAATTGGGATTGGTGAGAACAGAAAGAGAACAAGAACTCTTCCTCCTGCTGCAGCTGGGCACCCGAGGACAAGACATCATTGCTTCAAAATGTGTATCCCAGAGAAGACACGAGGTGGCACACAGCGCTGCCTCATGCCTTACGTAAGCTGTCCCTTGGCAGCGCTGCCGAGCTCTGCCTGGGGGAGACACGCTGAGCTGCTTCCAGCTCCTTCCCTAGACTGTCTCCTTGCTGCTTTGCCACACCTCCTTCTCTGGCACTTTCCTCTTTAAAAACCATTTCAGCTCTTTTTGAGCTCCTCAATTCTTACTAAACAAACAGCAATGTCTTTTTTTACTTGGTTCTGAATTTGTACTTAATTTGCTCATTTTGTCCATCTTTAATCATAGCCAGCTTGTCATTTGTCACAAGGGAAACTGTGTTCCTGTTCCCTCACTGAATCGAGCACATGGAGAAATATTTTTTCAATAATTGTGAAAGCTCATCCTGCTGCACATCCTTATTTCGCTTTTAGGAATAAGCTGCTAGTGAGGCATTTGCAGTAGTTAATAAGAAGCAGTTTTAATGTATAGTTTTCATGACCTTTTATCTTTGGCTGCATTTTTTTCTAGTATTACTCTTTTTCTAATACCAAAAGGCATTTAATTCCAAGGGTTAAGTAATCAACTCTCTTTGAATTAACTGCTAGAGAGTAATATAAATTAGTCAAAATAAATACTTAAATTATTTTTCATGAGAAATTCCATCTTCTCTCACACTCAGTTTTGAGAAGCTTCAGGAAATTGAAATCTATAAACCACTGTGTGATTGTTTGATTTGGACAGTGGAACGTGCTGCCCAAGGAGGTGGTGCAGTTGCCGTCCCTGGAAGTGTTTAAAATAAATACAGATGTGGTGCTCAGGGACAATGATTTAAGCACTGAACTGGTAGATCAGGTTATGGTTGGTGGATTTAGGTTATGGTTGGACTTGATGATCTTCAAGGTCCTTTCCAACCAGGATGATTCTATGTTTCTATGATTTATAAGGATTCAAAGTCCAACAGGAATTCTTCAATAGAAACAAGTTTTCAGATAACTCACTCCTTGTGTTTAAGATCTCTTAAGCAAGCTGTTAATTTTGTAAAAATATATCCATAGCAGTTGGACTACAGGCTATCTGAGATACTGTGTGATCCAAATTACAGCTTCTGCAGCAGCAGGGCCTGTCCCAGGTTTGCTGTGTCACAGAATTCCTTCTGGGTACTTTCCTGGGCTGCTATACAGCTGTCATCTGCATTGTCTGGTCATCCTGGATAGCCATGTGCTGCTGTCCAGGTGGGGAAGATCACTGAATCATCAGATCATTTTGGTTGGAAAAGGCCTTTAAAATCATCCAGCCAAACCATTCACCCAGCCCTGCCAAGGCAACCACTGACCCATGTCTCTCTTGACTACATGGCTTGGAAACCCCTCCAGGGATGGGGACTCCACCACTGCTCTGGGCAGCCTGGGCCAGGGCCTGAAAGCCCTTTTGGGGAAGAAATTGTTCCTAATAACCAATCTAAACCTCCTCTGGCACAACTTGAAGGCCGTTTCCTCTTGCCCTATGGATGATGGACCAGTGACTGCAGCAAGGCATTTGCACTCTCCTAGTGAGGACTCTTCTTTTGGGAGACATGCTCCCTGAGTGAGACAGCTTTATTCCTACAAAGTCATTGATTGGGGTTTTGGGTTTTATTGGTTGGTTTGTTTTTTCTGCCTCAAGTACTGCTGGTAATTTTGCAAGAACTGTGGTGCTGAGTAACCCCAGCACTCTGCTGCCTAGAGCTGTTTTCTTGGATCTTCAGCTATATGGAAGTACAGGCCTGGAGTCACACTGGCTAAAGGCTGAATTATTAGTTAGGAAAGTAAAATCACTTTCCCTTTCTCTTCCCTCTTCCCAACTTTACAGTTTCCTCTTGCTGTGAATCACTGTTGCCATCATGCAGATCAGAAGTCAGTATGTACTAGGTGGGACTCTAGATCATGGGTTTTCTGTGGGGCTGCATTAAGAATGAATTGCAACTAAGATGGTAATAATCAGTTTTGCTAGAGAAGTATAGAACATGAAGTGTGTCCTGTATCTTGGGAGGGTTATCCTGCTGCATCCACGTTGTGTCAAGAGGAAAACCTGAGGAGCTCCTAGGGAGAGGCTGTACCCTCCAAGGCCTGGGCAGCAGGGTTCAACCCCCCATGGCAATTCATTTCATATTCAGGGACCTGGGCTTAGGAGGGAATCAGGTTCTGTACATTTAATGAGCCCAAAACAAACACATGGAAATGTTACGCTCAATAACCCCAGTTAAACTGATGTCACATGACCTATTAATCTTCACTTTCACAATTAATAAAATAACCCAAAGTCATTCTTGCCACAGGAAGTACGTTTGAAAAACTGATCACGGTACATTACAGCCAGTAGCCAAAAAGCTTCAGGCTGCTCCTGTCTTCAATAGTCAATGAACATGAGTTCTGACAATTTTAGGAACTGTGAGGCTAACAAGCTTTTTTGTGCTTTTTTGTTTGTTTGTTTGCTCTGGGAGCAGAGCAGCAGTAACTTCAGACCCTGATGAATACTTGTTCATCCAGAGCATGTTCATCTTTAATATTGCATAAAAGTCTCCTTTTGCAAGCAGGTCCAACTGACAGTGAATTATTCAGGGGCTTTGAGGATGTGGACTTGTTACTTGGCCAGAAATGGAAGGACTGAAAGGTGAGGACAGATAACCCAACCCATCTGGTCTTGCAGGGCACATTTGCTGTCTCTATCTCCTAACTGAAAAAGTGTGCTCAGGTCACAAATGACCTCATCTTGTGCTTTAATAGGACTTGCTCCTATTGTGCAACCTGGTCTAGTGGTAGGGTTCCCTGCTCATGGCAGGGGGGTTGGAACTAGGTGATCTTCAAGGTCCCTTCCAACCTTAATGATTCTATGGTCTGCTACACCTCAAGTGGACATGAAGCTGTTTGTTTCACAGTAAGATTTTGAGTGAGTCCTTTTGTGACTGACTGACAAAAAAGGTACAACAAGGAACATTATGGCCAGATTGTAGAGAATATGAGGAAAAAACTGGCAGGTTTGGCCTGGTGTGTTCCCAAAATAGCCACATTTGTGCCTCTGAAGGGTGTGTGTAAAGCCAGAGAAAAGCATTCATGCATTATGTAGTATTTTCAAAGTGTGGAGGATGTTCAACACCTCCACCCTGGAAATTACTGAGAGCTTCCTGGCAGCATTTTCATAGATGCTGTTTTTCCACCCACCTCTTCCACAGAAAAGAGATACGAATATGAAAGTTCAGCAGAGCTGGTTTATGCAGCCTGTGTGAAACCAGTATCAGACCATCTTTATTTCCCGGTGTCATGGCACACAGCACAGTGCTTGAACCCACGTGTATGATTGGGGATGAGGAAGGTGACACAAAGCACACATGCCACAGCTCTCCTTGGTGATGTGCTGGGGTAAGAGCCTGTGTCACACTGTTCCCAAATAACCATGGTATTCTTTTACTAAAAATAACTTGCTGTCTCTTGCTCCTATGCCCTTTACACAGTGTAGGTGAGGAAGGCATGGGAGCACAGGTGCAGAAGCCTGTATGTGTGTTACTCTCCAGGCTAGCTGAGCTGGAGGGAAGAATGACACTCTTTATACTTCAGTTATGTAGCATTTTTTCCCTCCAGCTTTTTAAGTTGATGTATTTCTGCAGGAGAAACAGGTGGTAGTCACAGCCCTCCCTCCCTCTGGAGCTGGCTGCTTGCCCAGAACAAAGCAGGTTCTTTCCAAAATGGGCAGTTTTGGTAGCACAAAGTACAGTAAATCTTCAAATACCATGATATTGTCAAGAATGCCCTGTGCTTCGTTGGGTCCAGCTTTAAGTACTCCTTGAACTTCATATTTTGTGTCCCAGAATGACTATATATGTACTTTATATGTGCTTCATACGGGATCCTCGTTCCTTAATCTTCACTGTACGTTTGTCTTCTCCTACATGCATCACCCTGTTGCCTTACTGGTGGGACCCAGCATCCTGATTAGAGACTCAGAGTTTGTTTGGTTCTGTTTTCCTATAGCATCAGTGATTTAGGTGCTCACACACGCAGCTGGAGAGCTCAGCTCTGCCAGGAAAGTGGCAGGGCTGGACCTTGGATGCTGGACATGGCAGTGCCTGAGCCTGTTGGCTGTTGCTATAAACTGGAGGGGGGGGCGGGGGTGGGGCTTGTAGGTCAGCTGGGATTAATCTCTCCTCACAGTTGAGTGGCAGGAGTCTTAATCCTGAGCGGGGCTTGAGAGGAGAACTGAGCCCCACAAAGCAGAGCTGTTCAGTGCTCCTGGGAGGGAGCTGCAGGTCCCATGCCAGCAGGTCTCATGGGTGGCTGTTCAGGCCGTGGCAGTTCACAGGGTGTGTGTATTCAGAGTATTTGCTTTTGTGGACAAGGGCTGAACTGCAGGTACCTTTGGTTTATCTTTCCCTCACCACAGATGCTTTGCACAGTCTGCCTTGAAGGATGCTGAGTGGCACCTGTGGTGACCCCCTCCTCGGGGAGGGAGTGATGTGCCATTGCTTGGCCTTGCAGTGCAGTGACAGATGCACTGGAAATACACAGTCACATGCTTGTGGGGGGTGCACCTTCCAAACAAACCTGATGCAGTCTCCACAGAGCTCAGTGCAAGTTAAACTCCTTTATGTTTTCTCTTTGGTGCATAATCCATGTATCATTTTTAGCAGAACATGTTGCACAGCCCACCCGAGCTACTTTTCCCCTGGGTGGGAGAATGCTGGAATGGATGCTCTGTCATGTGCTCTGATCTCCACTGTGCTTGTTTTGTTGTAGCCAGTCTGCTGGGTGGTGTAAGCCTTGCCCCAGATCCTTGGGGAAGCACCAGTGAGACTTGCACAGTGTGGCACTGATTTACCTGCCTTGACAGCAGTGGTGGGGGACAGGCAGTGGATGGGCCATGAGACAGCCAGACTCCTTTTCTGCTCCTGCCCGGCAGCCTTGCCTTTGCAGCCTTCAGTCTGGTCTTCTAGAATGAATGGACAAGTCTTTCCTAGCTGTTCTCATGTGCTGAGCTTGAAGAAGGAACACTTGTTTCCTAGCCCTTGAGCAGATGACTGTTTCTTTTGTACTGTTGAATTTCTTCTTGTCTTTGTTCTCTGTTGATGCTGCCTCTTAGCTTGCAACCTGCCAAGCATTTCACTGCTCTCTGTGCCACTTCATGGATGAGAGGAAGTGGCTTCCAGTTAAGCCTGGGGAGGTTTAGGTTGGATGTTAGGAGAAACTTCTTTACAGAAAGGGTTAATAAGCACTGGAACTGGCTGCCCAGGGAAGTACTTGAATCACCATCCCTGAATGTATTAAAAAATTCTTTTGATACGATACTTAGGAACATGGTTTAGCAGTAGGCTGGTAGAACTAGGTTAATAAAGTTAGGTTAAAGATTGGACTGGATGATCTTACAGGTCTTTTCCAACCTGAACAGTTCTATGATTCTGTGGAAATGCTGAAATGTATCTCAAGACTAATCTTTGACGAACTCTACCAAGGGTTTATTTCCTAGCTAATACTGCTTTTCAGTGCTGCCCTTTAGCCAGTTCCTTAGTTAGGAAGGACTTCTGGTTTTCCAATTCCAGTAACACCTTCCCACGGGTGTTCTATAAGGGCTCCAGACATGGCTGGTCACAAAGTATATCAGGTTCCTCCTTAAGATAGGAAATGATATCTCAAGAGGGTTTTGAGTCTTTTAGCTCCTGCTGTTTGCTTGCTGCTTGGCAGTCATTGCAGTGAAGGTGTCTGGCTCAAGTCCCTGAAGGATTAGGTTGTGCTGTATTATGGGAGAGGAGTCTCTGCTTTAACATACTCAGAGTCTGGAGCACAACTGAGTCTGTCTGTCTTGCAGAAGCAGTTGAACCCAGGGCCTCTGTGCACAAGTTCGTTAGGCTTAATGAAATAAGAGATAAGACCATGACATTTGCTACATTTTATACATGATACTTCACTTTGGGTGTCCTCTTTATATCTCTCAGATGTGCTGCTTGTAGCAGGTCTTATTTTGAGACCATTTCAAAGTAAGAGCCTGTATTTCTGTTAAGTGTTTCTTTTCCAATGGCTTGTGCAAAACGTGTGAAAGAAATGGGCTGCAGAAGGGGGCTGCAGCAGCATCAGGCTTGGTTTCCTTTTTGAAAAGGATAGAGCATTTCACCCTCTGTAGCAGTACAGACTTTAATGCTCTTCTAGTCAGGAATCCAGCCAGGGCCACAACTTGCTTCAAAGCTTCTGCTTGGCTTCTCTGCCTCCCACACAGAGGGGGTGTGTGCAGCAGGAGAGGCTGCCCATGTATCTGCACATTGCAAGAAGGATAATTGCAGTCAGACCTCTGTGAGCCTTCTGAATAGCTCTTTTCTTTTGACATTCAAGGATTCTCTTCTCAAATCCATTCTTGGCTGAAATAAGAGGTTTTTACAACATTTGAGTTTTCTTGAACACTCGGATCCCTTCTTCAGAATCTAAAACTGTGCCATTCCTGTAGCACTTACTCCCTTAGGGACATATGTCCAAGAACTGACTGAAGGTTGTGTTTCAAGCCCTGGCATTTGTTACAGTCTCTCTAGGGAGTTCCCAGCAGCATTGCAAGTGCAGGTTTCATCCTGCAGTGTGCAGCAGGTTGGGATTCTCCACACCTTGATGTAGATGGGGTGAGTTTAGCTCACATGCGTAAAGCAGATTTATTGTGGCCCAGGGAATCACAGCATCACCAAAAGTAGACCCAAAGCAGATCCCTCCCGGCTCAGCACGGAGCCAGAGCAGTCCAGCATGGTGCTTAGTGCTCTCTTGGGCATGTTTGCTCCATTCCTAATGTTTGCAATTTTTCTTTCCTGCAGCTTCCTTGAAATGATGGAAGCCCGAAGTCGAGGCCACACGTCGCCACTAGCAACGAATGGGCAAAGCCCCTCCTCTGGCTCCCAGTCACCCATAGTCCCTCCAAGCTCCACATCCACAGGCAGCTCCAGTCCTGGCACCCTACAGCTCTCCACAAGCTCCACCATCTCTTCTGAACCTCCCCCATCTTTCTCACCAGTGCCTGCACCTGAGGCCCAGCAGCCACATGCGCCTCCACCAGCGACCCCCTCCCCAGCCCCTCCAGCTGCAGCCCCAGCACCAAAGCGCAGCATCATTTCACGTCTCTTTGGGACATCCCCTGCATCAGACCCTGCTCCTCAGCCAGGTAGGTGTGGCATCTAGGCAGGGTGTCACCCATGGGCGTTTCTCTGTTTTCCTTTCACTTTCTCCCTGTGGGAGGCAGAGCAGACAGGTGTCTGGAGCACAGGAGGTTCCACATAAACGTGAGGAAAAACTTATTTACTGTGAGGGCGACAGAGCCCTGGGACAGGCTGCCCGGAGAGGTTGTGGAGTCTCCTTCTCTGGAGACTTTCAGAACCCGCCTGGACACATTCCTGTGTGATGGACTCTAGGTGACCCTGCTCTGGCAGGGAGGTTGGACTTGGATGCTCTTTCAAGGTCCCTTCCAACCCCTAAGATTCTGTGATTCTCTGTCTGAAGACCACAGGCCCTGTGCCTGTGCAGTGTGCGTCCAAGGAGAGATGCACTGCCGCTCTTTCTCCTGATGGGCATTTTGGTTTGTCTGGAATGGGATGGGGACTGTGTTGAGGCAGCTGGATGGTGGGACTGAACACACAGGGAACACTAATAACTGTTGGCTCCTTACCAGGAGCACACATTTGTCTTGAAAAGCAAGAAAAATTGTTAGAGAACATATTAGAAGCGCTGTCTTCACAAAAGTCTGGCAGCTCAAGAGGGCTCCCTGTGTGCTAACAGAACAGTGGAGTGCTGTTTTTAAAGGTCATCCAGCCAGAAATGATCACATACATCCAGCCTCTGCAGTGGATTTGCCTCTGGGGAAATGTGCTCCTTCAGAGAAAGTCTGAGGTGGAGGGCAACCCACCCTGACTGCTTCCCAACATTCGTACAAAATGGAGCAGAGCAGGGCGGCGTGTGTTCCCAACCACTGCCGGATGAAGTTGCAGGGCAGAGGCATCCAGGGTTTTGTTGCCTGCACTTTTGCTGAGCTGGACCTTAATTTGCCTGTCACATTCACTTTGTTGGCAAATGTAACTGGAGCTGCAGAGCTGGCACTGCCTGCAAATGATTAGCATGACATGATTCAAATCACCCTTTGGAAATACCTTCCTTCTCAAACTGTCAATCCCTAGAGCTCACAGACACCCACAGAAAGAAAGGAGGAGGTGCTGGCAACACAGTTTGCAGTTTCAGATGTTGAGATCTTTCAGTTTTAGATCTGTACACAGTGTTCTACATCCTGAAGCCATTACCAGGTATGACACAGGATACCTATTTCAGTTACTTCATGACTCTTCCTAGTCAGAAACAAACAAACAAGAGAAAATGTTAGAAATCCCTTGTCAATAAAAAAAACCTTGGTAAGTAGAAAAAAAACAAGTACCTGTGTTATAATCTTTGGGTTTTGTTGTGGTTTTTTTTCTTCTTTTTAAATCTATCACTTAGCTTGAGAACTTGTTTCAAGCTTGTGGGCTGCAGTCCTGGTATCTCAAGGGTGCTTTTTAGGAGAGTTGCAAATGGCAGCCAGGAAAAGCTGATCTATTGGTGTTAGTAGGTTTATGTAGCAAGCCGAAGAGCTGCACCTCTACTGGAACAGACTAGCTAATTGGAAAGTAGTTGAAAAAGCCACTGTCACAAAGTAGTATTTTCTTTTTCTGTGGGAGCTGCTATTTAAGCTTTCCCTTGAAGTCTTGCAGTAGTAATTCTTTTGTCTGTGTTTGTTCTTACACCAACACTGCTCTATGGCACTAGTAATGGTGTTATTTGTATGCAAAAATGATCTTGAAAATTATACTAGGAGAGCAAAATCTAAAAAAAAAAATAAATCCCAAACTTGTTCACCAAAACCAAAAGAGCTTAGATGTGAATTGCAGTCTGGGCAGAAGAAGATGACTGAACATTGCAAATTCTGAAAAGGTTTTAGGCTTCCTTGTTGTGCTAATTTCATGAGATTTCATCCTGAGACCTTGAAGATGGGTCACAGTGCCTCAACAAATAGGCTCTCTTAAAACAAGTCTCTATTTGCCATAGCTCTTGAGGTTTTGGTTACAAAGAGCATCTAAAAACTGCCCGTTGCAGTTGAAAAAGCAAGAGGAGGTGAGTGGGTGAACTGAACAGTCTGGAAAAGGTGACAGGATAATGGAGGGCCATCAGGCAGGAGTGGTGTAAAACCTGGCTGTGGGATGGTCAGTCGTAGCGTTCACTGTACAGCGGAGTCAGCCATATGCTAGAGAGTTTTTCAAACTATTTAAGAGCCTGGGTCAACCTGGTGCATTTCAAAGCACAGAGACTGTGTTGTCTGTGAGTGCCTTCATGTCAGATTCTGGTTTGAGTCATACCCTTCCTCTTGGTGTGTAGCCAAGGTCCTGCTTAGTGGCTGCTGCCACCCTGGGCAGGGTAGATCTTTAAAAAGCAAATTTCTGTCTTACTTGTGGTGAACCCTATGATTTACAGCTGCTGTTGCTAACACAGATCCCGCTGCCGCCACGCCTCCCCCCCACCCTGAAGCCCCTGCAAAAGTACAGAGTGTGGAAGACTTTGTTCCTGATGACAGCCTGGACCACAGCTTCCTAGAGGACCCAGCCCCACAGAGGGACAGGGGGAAACCGCAGCCAAAACATCGCATGGACAGTGAGAGGTAAGGAAAGGAGGATGGAGGGAGGGCAGGTCAGGGACATGCCTGGATGTGCAGCCTGAGCCATGGCTGGGGCCTGGCTGACCTGTTGAAACTGTTCAGAAAGTGATTGCAGAGCAATGAGCTGCAACCTGTGGCCAGTATGGACCACTGCTTTCCCAGCTGGGCTGTAGTCAGTCATAGCATGCTCTGCCTCCTATTTATAGAATCATGGAATCATAGAACTATTCAGGTTGGAAAAGACCCTTGGGATCATCGAGTCCAACCATCATCCCTCCTCTACAAAGTTCTCCTCTAAACCATATCCACATGATACACACAGCTCCCTGGGGAAAGGGAAGAGCAGTAAAAGGTAGTTTACCACCCTCCTGGTTTTGCTGGCTTCCTTTCATGCAGTGTTAAACCACCGGGTCACTTTGGGACAGGGAGGTATTTCTTTTCTGACCTAATGTGTTGAAATGTTGGAGATATTTTCCTTCTGGAACACAGGGCACTTAGCAGGGATATTGTGTTTTGCCCAATCAGTACTTTCCCACTGTAGAGGCCCAAAGCATAGCCAGACTCCTTTGTGGCCTGGTACTGCCACTCCTGAGCCTTTGGGGACACTCTGTGGAATTCTAGAAGGAAGAATGGAGAGGATTGTGCACCCTTGGGAGTGTGACAGCATTCTTGCCTGCAGATTCCAGACGTCTTAGGCTTTGCCACTATTTTTCTCTATTTCTAATGTTCCTTTCCAGAATTTACTCCCTAAGTTGGAGAGTTATACATTTGACAGATGGACTGTTTGGTGGATAAGGAATGGGCTGGATAGTCACATCCAGATGGTAGTGGTCAGTGGCTCATTGGTTGGATGGAGATCAGTGGCAATTGGTGTCCCTCAGGGGTCTGTACTGGGACCAGTACTATTTCATATACCTTCATCAGTGACATAAACAGCAGGATCAGGTGCCCCATCAGCAAGTTTGCAGGTGGCACTAAGTTAGTGGTGTGTTTGACATGCCTGAGGGACTGGATGTCATCCAGAGGAACCTGGACAAGCTCACAAAGTGGGCCCATGTGAACTTAATGAGGTTGGTCAAGGACAAGTGCAAGGTCCTGCACCTGGGTTGGGGCGACTCCTGGTATCCACACAGGCTGGAGGATAAAGGGATGGAGAGCAGCCCTGGGGAGAAGGACTTGGGAGCACTGGTGGATGAAAAGCTGGATATGAGTTGGGATGGCAGCCCAGACAGCAAAGCCTGTCCCAGGCTGCATCAACAGCAGCGTGACCAGGTCAAGGGATGGGATTCTGCTCCTCTGCTCCAGTTTGGTGAGACCCCTCTGCAGAGCTGGGTCCAGCTCTGGGGTCCCCAACACAAGAAGGACATGGAACTGTTGGAGCAAGTCCAGAGGGGGCCATGGAGATGATCCAGGGGTTGGAGCAGGGTCTGCAGTGACAGGACAAGGAGTAATGGTTTTAAACTAAAAGAGGGGAGATTTAGACTAGATATAAGGAAGAAATGTTTTGCAATGAGGGTGGTAAGACCACCCAGGTTGCCCAGAGAGGTGGTGGATGCCCCATCCCTGGAGACACTGAAGGTCAGGTTGGATGGGGCTGTGAGAAGCCTGATAGAGTTGAAGATGCCCCTGCTCATGCAGGAGTGTCCGACTAGATGATCTTTAAGGTCTCTTCCAACCCAAACCAGTCTGTGATTCAGTTATTCTATCCTCCAAATGGCAGAGATCTGTGCTTATGCTGGAGGCTGGAATTTATTTTTTTCTTGCCTTTTCTGTTTTTTTCTTTTCCTGGCTCTGATGCTTTTAACCAAATGAAGGGAAAAGGAGCCGTGTGTTCTGCGCTGCACAGAAAACAGGGTGTGTAGCAAGCTGTCTGAAAGCAGACTGTCACTACAGAGGTGACCTAAGCATACTCACAGGCTCTGCATCCCTCTGCTTAGCGTAGCCCTTGCCTGCTGCCTCTTGTCATCAACACTGGATTAACCAGGAGGGTAATTAAATGCTGATACAGCTCATCTGTGAGTGTGGTGGGTTCTGCATCTTTTAACATCTCTGTCATCATGCAGTTCTCTAGTTCAACCACAACAACTTGAAATCAATGCTGGGTGTGAGGCTCAGTGCCTGTCTAATGCAGGTCAGCCTGAATCATCATCCCTTGTGATGATGGAACATGTGGCTGTTTTATTAATTTAAAAAAAAAAAAAAGGAAGGGAAGGAAAAAAAGTGGTGGATGCTTGAAGCCTGCTGGCCTACAAAGCAACTCACTTGCAGCTGTGGCTGAGCTGGAATATTTTTCTGTGCTTAACAAGGAAATATCAGGAGAACCAAGCCTGGCCTTCCTGGGGTTTGCTGAAGGGCTGCGTCCTGGTCTGCCCTCAGAGCTCTTCTGCAGCAGTTCTTGCTGTGGGTAGAAGGTTGGGTATTTAACAAAGGTTTCTCTTCTCCAGAACATCAGTTATTGGAAGCAGTGTTAGACTCTACAGAAAGCCAAACATCTTAAACAGTGTTGCAGGAGCCCTGCTCCATGGTTGTAGAGTTGTCACATTCTTGGCTGCTGTGATGCCCCTTGGCACTCTGCCCCCAGCCTTGGCAGTCTTCCAGTGTGCATGAGCTGGTAGGGGCAGAGATACCTCTGGGCTCCTTCAGAAAGGACTCTCGTTCAGAGCACCATCCTTTGATACCAGCAAAAACCATCTGCAGCTAAAGAGCTTTCCTTGCCTAGAAGACCTTGCAGTACATCCCTGCAAGTTCAGATACTGATTATTTCTCTGCAGTTTGGCATCTATGTCTTGCCCTGGTTTCTTGTGTAGTTCACAGTTTTCTCAGTGGTCTGGCAATTTTACCTTCTGTTTCTTGCCAAGACAAGCCCACCATAATAAGGCAGACCTGCTGATATTCAGAGATGTCTATGTGTTCTGACCATCACCTGAAAAAATCGATTTCCTTCAGGATGCCAGTTACAACCCTGCAATGCCCAGGAGCATTCTGTAAGAATTCTGTAAGCATCATCCATAATAATCAGCTTCTACTGCAGTGAGTAGGTTGTTGTAGTAACAATAAAATCTGCTGCTGCAGAAATTTATCTCTGATCTAAAGAACACAAAAGTTTTCCTGTGAAACCACTCAAACCTAATGGAGGTGTTAGTGGTTTTAAAAAATAAAATACTGGTCAGGCATGCTATAGTGTCACCTTTACCTGTCCTCCCTGGAATCCTCACCCATCAGCTCATAGTTGGCTCCTCATCCAGCCCCAGGCAGAGCTCTGTGCACTCCCTGTGCTCTCATGCAGAGAACAGCTCCTGGAGGAAAAGGGGAAGGTCTTGTTCTCCTTGTTGGAAGAAGGATGTTATGCTGAACTGCTTCCTGAACTCAGGGGTGTGTTTGCTTCCATATGTAAGATCTTGCTTGCTTTTCTTTTCTGAGCTCCAAATTTCAAGGTCTGGTATTTCTTGTGTGTTTTAGTGATGTGGGGAATTCTGGATTTTTTCACAGTGCTGTGTGAACTTCTCCCAGTCCCTGCTCCATAATGTCTCTGAACAGTGAAGCAAGAGTTAAGATGGAGCAGTAGTGTTAGAAAGAAACCACTTTTTTTTTTATCCTCAAGTGTTCTAGCAGTGAGAAATGTGCTTATGCCTGTGGAACAGGGCAGCTCTTGCCCAAAGATCAGGCACTGCTGAAACTTTCCACACTTACTGACATCTCTTAGTGTTGCTAGAGCTAAAACCTAGCACAGAGCTTTGGAGATTAATGGAGTCCTGGGTTTTGTTTGGTGGCATCTTATAGTTCTGTAGCTTGCAATAAAGAGAACTCCATGAATCAGTTTCTTGGGTGGTTAATTAGGAAGACAGTTCAGTCTCCCAGTTTGCTGTTTCAGAACTGAATTTGCTGCTCTTCAGCCTGTTGATCTGAGCCAGCATGTGTGGCTGCACCAGAGGAGCTGATGTTGCTCCGAGTTGGCTCCACTTGTCCCTCCTGCAGACCAAGACTGAGGCTGAGGATGCTGTTTGGTTCATACTAGAAGACCCCCATCTCCTAGGTATAGTCATGCAGGCTTATCCCATGGCAAGTGATTCCCTCAGCTTATATGCTTTGTTGGAGGTTAGGTTTGTCTTTCTCTAGCTCCAAAACCCAATGTGGCCAGAGGAGGCTGCTCTTGGGGCTGGCTCTGCACAGCAGGGCTTGCGGGGACACAGTCAAGCATGGTTGGAGACAGTGTGCTCAGGTTGCAGCAGGATTTGTGTCATCTCCAGCAGCCACTCTGTGTGGATGACCGAGGGCTCGCTGAGGAAACCCCGACGTGCTCTTTGATCAGTAGCTCAGGTGCAGACCTTGGCCAGCGTGGTCAGTGTTGGTGGGTACCTGTGTCTGCAAACACTTTGGCTCAGCACTAACACAGGCTTGGCAGCTCATCAGGTGTTGGAGAGTGGTGCAATGTGCTTGTTTTTGCATGCTCTGAATTTCTTCCAGCTGGAACCTCAGGACCACAAGCTGATACTAATTTTGCATTGTCAGACCTTGTTTATAATGCAGCAGTGATTCTCCTGACATGTATTCACTCCACTGCTTTGCTCTTCAGCAATTTGTGTGGGAGTTATGGATGGAGGCAGCATATTCACTGCAAAGGGAGGTGACCCACTTTGTGTGGGAGGGTGTGCACACGTGGATTTCTGTTCAGACTGGGAATGTTTGAAAGGCTGCAAGTCTTGCATGGTGTGTGGTGGAACGACAGTGGCAACAATCTCTGAAGAGTCCCCATGCTTAATAGAGCAGTGGTGTGTTAAAGAAATGCAGTGTCACTACTTCAGAATAATATCCTACCATTTTTAGATGCAACTCCATTTTCTTTTCAGCTCATTTCAAGAGGAAACCCTGCCAGTGTTTCACAGACCTCAGAAATCACTCGCTCCAGCCTTCTCCTTTGTGTGGGATGAGCTGTGTGCCTCCTTTCTGGCTCAGTATTGAGAGCAGCAGTGCTAGTGATGAAGAGGCACTTCAGCAACTTGGCTCTGCTGAGCTGGAGCTGTATTGAGAGGCCTGGAAGCAGAGGGATCCAAACCAAAAGGAGAAAGAGAGGGTGGATGTTGGCCCTGTTGTTAGCCTTCTGACCTAGACAGGCATCGATTGTAATCACTCTCAGTGTGCTGCACGAGTTGTCATAAGCACAGTCCCATTTGTCACTAAGAACTGCATTATCTATTGGATGATTTATTCATTCTTTAAAACTAACTGGTAAACCAGAAGAGGCAGATTGAGGAGCACAATCATCCAGACTGTGGTAGGACTTCAGTGTCTCACATCCCACCAGCACACCATCCTCCACTCTTCCAATACTGGCTGTGTGCTAGTGGCTGGGAACACACCTTCTTCCACATTAAGGGTTTTAGGCTTCTGTGATTCCTTTTATGCCTCTAGAATCTAACATATTCCAAGCTATAATAATTTTTTTTTTGTCTCTGCATAACAGTGGGGGCTGCGTTTGTACAATCACTATTGAGTCATTAAAAGGACAGTGACTCTTGTGTTGGTCGATTATCAGGAAGGAGCTGGGAATCTGTTGCAGATAAAGCAAACAGAATGAGGAAGGATGATAAAAAGGCTTATCCATTGAGGCTGGGGAAAGTATCTATATTCCTGATATGAGCAGTTCCTTCAGAAAGTATTACAGTTGTTGAGTCCTGGGGACACTCAGACAAAAATCCCCAGCTGATAATTTCAGCTGCAAAGCTCTCTGTCAGGATGTCTCTGAACACCAAACTGTGTTACATCCATGTAGTCTGACAGCCTCCTAGCTCTGAAAGTGTGTCCTTAGGTTAATTTAATTTGGGAATGTTAAAGCATGGTTATGCTGTCTGTGTAGCTGTCTGCTTCAGGGAGCTCCAGAGAAAAAATCATTCCAGGAAGCTCATAGCTGCAAGTGAATTCCCACAGTAGTGGCAGTAGATGATCAGGTTTAATTACTGGATGTGGGGATTAAGGCAAGCTGTTCCCACAGCTTAATTGGCTGATCCTTGCGTGTTGGACCGGAAATGTTCTGATATAGCTGAAGCAACAGGCTCACCTTTTCCAGCCACTTATTTTCAGCTTGAGCACTAGCAGCCACTGTGTGCCACATCCTTCTGTGTCCCATTTTGTCCAGGGCTTGTGCCACAGGGTGCAGGGCCAGCCTGAAGGGGTAGCTGGGCAAGGAAAGGCTGGCAGTGCAGCTGCCCCAGGCTGAGGGACACTGACCCTGAAGTTGGCCAGAAAAGCCAGGTAAGGAGCAGCCTGCTTTCAGGGATATATCTGCTTGTCTGTCCTGGCCCATCCTGGGGCTGCAGTGTCTGATCATTGTCTGTTTTGCAGTGATGGAGAGGTGCCTGGGGGGAACCCCATGGTGGCAGGTTTCCAGGATGACCTGGATCTCGATGACAGAATCCCCAGCAGACCTGTGCCAGCAGCTGAACGGGTGCCCAGCAAGAATGTCACCCTCTCCAGTGAGGAGGAGGAAGAGCTGAAGGACTCTAAAGTTGTCCTCATACCTGATAAGGACATGGACACAGAGCAGGAAAAAAAAAGGTACAAAGTGGGGTTGTGCTGGCAAACTTGGGGCTCTTCTCAGTCCTGTCACTCACTTCTGTGCAGCCTCTGGGAAATCTCAATGACTCCCTCAGCATGTTCCTCAGCCCTAAGCTGGGGATGTGTTTGTTTTAGCTGGGGCAGCTTTCTGCAGATGTTTCTGCACCACCCCGGGGCAGCACGTGTGAGTGCTGCGCTCCTGCGGGTTTCTGCTGGGGAACAGCCTGGTCTTTTTCTCAAGTTTGAGCAAGGAGCTGTAGCTAAGCACCTGAATATCTGTTGGTAGCAGTGTGAAGAGTTGAATCTTTTGGTGAATGGCGTGGAAGTCATTCACCACACAATGTGCTGCAGAACAATGAGCTGGATCGTGTTCTCCACGTGCAGGGGACAGTCAGGCATGGCCTGCAGGCGTCGCATGCAGGCGTCGCCTGTGCATCCACAGGGACACAAGGGTCATCTCCAGCTTCTTGAGTCAAACTGTGGCAGAGGTGTGTGTTTGACCTCACACTCCCTAGGATCCCTAGGATGAGATGTGCATCCTATTGAGATGCACACTGCAGCCCTTGAGGCAAGCTCAGCTATTAACTGGTCACTGCTTTGTTTCAGAGTGGGGCTGTGTACAGGCTCTGACAATTTCTTTCTTTTCAGGTCTTCCAGAAATTCTCTGAAACCACAGAGTGAAGCTGTTCTGACCAAAGCAACTGACTCGAAGCCTCCTGACAGTTTACCTCCACATGCTGGGCCTGAAAGAAACAGCAGCAGCAAGGTCAACACTAGCCTGCCAGCTGCTGCCACTGCCACCCCAGCAGTCCAGGCCCCAAAGACCACTTCCCAAAGCAAAGGACATGCTCTCAAGCAGAAAGTGGTCAAAGACGAGGAGCCTGAGGAGTCTGACAGTGACCAAGAGGGACCAATAGCTACTCAGATGCTCTCATTTGTTATGGATGACCCAGACTTCGAAAGTGAGGATTCTGATAGCCAGAAGAAGAAAATGGTAAATAACATGGATGAATGGCTGTGCACGGCTGCAGAGCTGAGCTTGAAGTGTTGAGGCATCTCACGGAGCGGAGCTTTCATCTGCTCCCATCTCTCAGCAGCAGTCCCAGCAAGTCAGGTGCTGAGCAACCTGGAGAGATTTGGTGTAAGCACAAACCCACTGATGGCTGATTGTTGAAGCCACACAGCAATGAGGTTTGTGCTTGCAGGTTTTAATGTGCTGTTTATTCTCAGTAAGTCCAAAGCACTGTCAGTCCAGCAGTGTGGAAAATATACACAAATATGTATATACAAAATATAAAACTGATAGTTTTCACCCAAAGCTGAATATGCAGAAGTGTGCGTAGAGAGAGAGAATAAGTGAGTTCCCTACAGTCAAGCCAGCAATGAGTGGGTCATAATGAAATTTGCTTGGCAAGGCTCCTTGCTGAAGTAGGAAAATCTGCTGGAGAAGGACTTTCCAGAACAGCCAGGTTGGCTGCAATGTCTCTGTGATGTTGCACATATGGGCAGCTGCCAGGTGCTGCCTGCAGCTGTCTGCTCTAACACAGGGTGCACCAGGAGCCCCTCTGCACCCAGCATGTGCTAGAGATGGAGAAAAAGCAGACATCTCCGGGCTGGTAGGAACCTGCTGCTATGGCTCTAGATACCCCTGATTTCAGTGATCCACACTTGCAGCCAGCAAAATGATATCTAGAAACTGCTCAGTGGGATTTGGGATGGGGATCTGCTGTTCAGGGGTACCCCCTGGTGTCTGGGTTAGCTGGTGTTTGGAAGTGGTTTATGTGTTTGCACCATTCCAGAATCCTGGAGAAAGGATGATTGTCCCAGTTTCTTTGACCTTGCCTGTGTGTCATGCTGTTTATTAAATAATTTTCCATTCATTTAGCATTTTCACGACCTGCTTTTCCTGGCACTTTATTATGAAAGCAAAAGTATTTGGAGCAAGTTTACTTCCTGTGCATGTGATCACGAGAAACGGGATCTGTGAGGGAGCTTGTGTCAGGGAGATGCCCCACAGCATGTGAGTGATTTTCAAGTTCAAGGTTTGCTGGTCAGGCAAAGTGGTAAAACCTCCCTATGAGCAAGGAGGAGGGAGCATCACCTGGGCCAGCAAGAGAGCCAGGTCAGCGTGAAGGACATAAGAAAGGGTAGACAATGAATTCTGAAGAGGAGCAGTTGGCTGGTATCACAAGATCGTTACAATTGATATCCATTCTTATCGTGTGGAGACAGAGGGGGTTTGGTTGATATCCAGTCTCTGCAGCATCCTGGTTTGTAGCCCACATTAAAGGGGGCAGATTTGCCCAAGGAGCACATTCCTTTTTGACTCAATGAAGGGATTTATTCTGCAAACCCAGACCACTTCCTTGGCCCTGCTGTGTGCTGCCTCTGATACACAAGCGAGACATCACAGTGCAACACAGGAAAGAGGTTTTGTCTGTCATGTCTGGAGGGGAGTTTTCAGCCTATCTGATTTGGTTTTCCCCAAAACAGAGGTGGCTCTCTAGGGAAGTTAGGGGCTGATGCTGTAGAGTTAGCACAGTTGAAGGTCTCATTTAATTCCTTTACATCTGAAATTTGATTTTGGTAGCCCGAATGTTGTTACCAGAGCATGCTTTCCAGTACCAGTGCTACTGAGATGTTTTACTGAGGCAAGAAATAGATATCTCAAGGGCATTGATTTCCAGGCAATAGCAGATCAGTTCGGCTACCATTGCCTCCCTCCTCCCCACCTGCTGACATCTGACATCTTTGTATATAAAATGCTCAGAGATCTTGGCTGAAAGATTTGTCTGTGTTGTCTGCCTTTTCTTGTCTCTAGGATGAATTCCCAGTCCGGGAAGATCTCTCTGAAATATCTGATGATGATACCTCGTTGGCAAAGCCACCCCAACCTGTGAAATCAACAGTCCACTCCTTTAAACTGAAAAATGACTCAGATCTCTTTGGTTTGGGTTTGGAGGAAACTGGTCCCAAGGAGAGCAGCGAGGAAGGTAAAAGTCACACCTTATTTCCACTCTTGGTGGTTTTGTTTGTCAGGCATCTGTTTTTTTCCAGAATGGTTCCAGGGTGTAAGCAAACCACTTGTCGCCAAATAAAATGCCCTGTAACTTCATGCAGTGCCCTGTGTGAGTTTATAATGTGGTTTAACACAGCATGAATAACTTTTGAGTTTTTTTTCCTATGGGGAGGAGGGGAACTGGGCTCCTCCATGACATCAGCCATGTATTTTTTCTGAGCCAGCTGGAAGCTGGAGCACATCTTTCACAAGATGCTTCTGGATGAGGCTTCTGGCTTAGCCTTGCATGCCTGGGAAGTGGTTCTCAGCATTGCAGTGTCCACCCCCTCAAGAATTTGGAATGATTTACCAAAATGCTCTGACATACTCTGCCAATTTGCTCTTCTGTTTTTGGGAAAGGTGGGGTGGGGTTCTGATCACAACCTGAGCATTCCTCAAGCTTTTTAGGTTTTTTTTCCTTCCCCTGAAGGAGCACATCTCCCTTCCACAAATAATTTCTGCTCTCTTGGCATTACTGCAAAGCAACTTCCTATAGATCTGCCCCTGGTGTCACCATGAAAGACGAGAAGTTAAAGACTGAAGGAGAGAAAAAGCTGTAAGCAGCACCAGAGAGAGATTTCTTTGAATAGCTGTTCCAAAAGTGTAAGCAAAGTGTCACAGGCTGTGATGGCTTCATCAGCTTGTCACTTTGAGCGGCTGAACAGCACAGCTTGAAATAGCTAGAAGTGCATCTGCAGAGGCCCAGGTCAATAATTTAACTTCAGTTTAGCATCTTTATTAATTCATGTAGCTTCCTCCTATTTCCTCTTTCTGGGATTAATATAAAAACATGTCTTGGTACTCAGTTGGACCTTGACGAGCAATTAGATTTCCCTATGACTGACTTGTGTTTTCAGATCAACTGAGGAAAAGAATGTGTAGGTAAGACTGACAATCAAATACCACCCATGAAACCTGGTGCAGTTGTAAACCCTCCTGTGGAACAGCCATGTAGACACAGTCCTGTTCAAGGAGTCATTGTACAAAGGCAGTGCAGCCTAATTAGCAGCCAAGTCATCAACCACAATTACCTGGGACAAACAATTTCACAGTGATGGACTCAGTACAGTGAAAGCAGCCACCCCTGTTGAGCTACAGGACTGACAGTTTGGCCTCATGGAGCTGTCATTTCCATGCACAGTTTGAAGAACAGTGAGTGCAGCCTGTGTGGCTGCTCCCATCTGTCCACTCTGTGTCCTGCCATTGCTAGAAGCACAAGTTGTGCCTGGTGGGATTTCTGTCTGCCCTCAAATATTTTGGAGTCAGAGGGAAATCATTCCCAGGAGCTCTTCTTTAGTCTTGGAAATAATAATCCAGTCCCAGGTTGGCCCTCTAAAAAGAGCTGGTCTCTGCATTTGTTTCTTAGTAGCTGTGATACAGTGAACATCCAGGTCAGTGTTCCTAACACAGAGTAACATAGATAGTAAAAGGCTTATAATTAAACTAGGTGTATCTGGTGAAGTTTGGGTGTGACTGCTGGGGCCTGTGTTGGTTTCCAGAGGGGTGCAGTTTGCCCTGGGCAGTTGGAATTGCATTTGCCTGAGGCTCCAGGATGGAGCATTTTGTTCTCAGAAATCAGGGCAGGGCAGAATTGTCTGCAGTTCGAATTGATTAATAACAATGTTGTGGGGTCTTTTTTGTTTGTTTGTTTGAACAGATAAACAGCCTTCTAAGGAGAAAAAGAAGAAGAAAAAGAAGAGCAAAGAGGTACTATTTAATTCCTCAGACCTGACCTGCCATATTATCTACCAGCTAAGGAGAGGGGTGGCCTTCTATAGAGCACTCTGTGTGCCTGATGGACTTCCTCCTGTCCCCCCATCCTGCAGCCAGATCTGTGTCTCCCAGGCTCTGCATACCATTAACCACTTTGCAGCTTAAAAACAGTATTTTAGAGCAGCTGAATTTTGAGAAAGCAGTCTGTGAGTTTGTAAAACACAGGATCCAATAGAGCATTGCATATCTGCTGGGCTGAGCCTGTTGATAGCATCATGATTTTTACATGCAGAGGGGTGTCCCTGACAGACCTCATCACAGAGGCAGCAAGGGAAGTCTGCAGGAGGCTGTCTTTGACATTTCTGCCTGTCCAATACTGTGGTATTGTCAAGCACAAACTGCCTGACAGACCACTGCTACATATAAACCAGATGGTCTTTCTTCTCTTCAGTCCAAACTCACAGAAGGATCTTCTGGAATTAACTCCAAGCCAGCCTTGCTAGTAGATGCTTCACCCTAAGTAAGGTTCCTGTCAGAGCCAAGTTTCAGGGTGATCTAAGCTGGGTTACTGGTGTGCTCAGAGGATTTACTAATAAAAATCTTCTCATTTCTCAGGAAGAGGAGAAGTCCGTGAAAAAGAAGAGCAAACACAAGAAAAGCAAAGAGAAGGAGGAGAGCAAAGAGGAGAAAGATAAAAAGAAAAAGAAAAAGAAGAGCAAGGAGAAAAACAATGAGATAGATGAACTTGAGGCTTTTCTTGGAGGAGGAGGAGCCAGCATGAGCAAGCCACGAGGAGGAGGGGACTATGAGGAGCTGTAGGCTGTGGGTACCTGCAGTGGACTCTCCTGTCGTGGCTGTCTCCATCCTTTCTTACGAGTCACACCAGGACAGGTGCAGATGTGTAAAGCTTTGGCCATTTGCCGTATATCCTCTCAAACCAGAGCTGGCAAAACAAAAGCTTTGCATCTGTGTGTGCTGTTCTAGAGCATTCGTTACACAAAGAAAATCCAGCTGAGATGTACTTGAGCAAGGGGAAGGTTCAGGGCACAGTTCCCAGGCTCGCTTCCAGGCTGTCATTTTTTTTCCTTCCAGAAATGCCCTGTGGGGCAGCTGGCAGAGCATGGGAGGCAAAGGGACCTGCCTTCTGCTCCACCCCTGCTAAGTTCCACTCCTGAACACCCGAAATTCCTACCTTGTTAAGAGGAGTGCAACAAAACATGCTGCATGAACGCATCATGCCCGCTTGTCTGAAGTCTAACTTTTTATCCTTCCAATTTTTTTAATGAGAAAGGTTGTATTGGCTGTTGCTCCACCCAGCAGTTCATGAGCTTTAAATCAAGCAGATCGTGCTGTGGGTGCAGCTCTAAAACCACAACCAGAGGGCCAGAGTGAGAGAGAGCATGTGTGATTTTGGAGTCCTGTGAACAGGACCTTTCTGCACAGCAGCTTAATTAGCACTCACTGGTGCTGCTGTTGGAATTCATGATGTCCAATTGATTTCCGTGGCCCCAGTGTCTCAGACACTACACGTAAGCTGCTATGCAGTTTGGGAAAACAATGCAAAGTGCAAAGTTAACCTGAAGAAGAGAGAGAGAAATCTGTGTTTTCTGCATTTCCCACCCCTTGAATTTGCATATACTAGAATCCACTCCCTTCAGTACCTCTCAGGGACATGACTCTCATGTGGAAATGAAGATATCCAGAGCTTCAGAACTGTCTGCAGAGAAGTGTGGGCATGGTGAGGGATTTGCTCATCAGGCATTTCACAGTCATGCTGTAAAACATGGGCTGCCTCTACATGGAGAGGGACACCCAGTGTAGCTCAGTGTTGCTCTGGTCCAGCTTCTGCCTGTACTGCAGCCTTGTTCACAGGCCAAGCCTCCCATCAGCCAGTGTGTTGCTTTTCCCTGCCCCAGGTGGAGAACCTCCTCCCATCCCATGTGTTTGGGAAGCCTTTCAGTTTTTGCTTTGAACACAAGCTCATGGTTGGTGCCTGCTCAGCAGCATCAGGCTGGGCACTACAGGGCAACCACAAACATGTGCCTGGCTCTCAGTGAGCAGCCCGTGTGTCTGATGGAGCTCGTTAGTTCTCCCTACCCAGTTCTGGTTTGGTTCTGGTGTCCCTTGCGCAGCTCAGACAGTGGAGCTCTCTCAAGGATCTTCTGTGCATTCCATTACTTTGTGGCTTGCAGGTTGATTTGTAGTTTGGTTTTGTTCTCCCTCTCCCCTTTCTCTTCTGAAATGTCAACGATGAAATCCAAACTGAGGTGTCCTTCTACATCCCTATAAAGCTTTTTGTTCTGTACTTTTGATCCATTATCTGCTCCAGGGTTGTCTTGAACAGCAGGCAGTTACCTGCTTCATTTTTCTTTTTCTTCCCCCCAGCCCTCAAAATGCACCTGTAACTGTTTCCCTACCATCAGCCAGTGTGTTGCTTTTCCCTGCCCCAGGTGGAGAACCTCCTCCCATCCCATGTGTTTGGGAAGCCTTTCAGTTTTTGCTTTGAACACAAGCTCATGGTTGGTGCCTGCTCAGCAGCATCAGGCTGGGCACTACAGGGCAACCACAAACATGTGCCTGGCTCTCAGTGAGCAGCCCGTGTGTCTGATGGAGCTCGTTAGTTCTCCCTACCCAGTTCTGGTTTGGTTCTGGTGTCCCTTGCGCAGCTCAGACAGTGGAGCTCTCTCAAGGATCTTCTGTGCATTCCATTACTTTGTGGCTTGCAGGTTGATTTGTAGTTTGGTTTTGTTCTCCCTCTCCCCTTTCTCTTCTGAAATGTCAACGATGAAATCCAAACTGAGGTGTCCTTCTACATCCCTATAAAGCTTTTTGTTCTGTACTTTTGATCCATTATCTGCTCCAGGGTTGTCTTGAACAGCAGGCAGTTACCTGCTTCATTTTTCTTTTTCTTCCCCCCAGCCCTGAAACTGCACCTG